CCCCCCAAACCCAAACCCAACCCCAAACCCAAACCCAAACCCAAACCCAAACCCAAACCCAAACCCAAACCCAAACCCAAACCCTTTAGAGGGCTTATTATCTAGATTAAATGAGGTCTAGCATAGGTTTGAGTTATCTTAAACAAGTTAGAGCACAGATATACACATCTTCTCAAATTTTACTCACAATTTATCTTAATAAGAATTTAATCTGAAATAAAAAGTCTATTAGGTGCCCATCCATCAAGCTCTAGGAATATCTTAAACAGTGTAGTAATAAGTTGAATTATCAAAAGTTCATGAAGCCAAACAACTTAAAATTTTACCCATAGCTGTAGTTGTAGTGTGGGATGTATAATAATCTTAAGCAAGAAACTTGGTAAACTCTTTTCTGATATTAGATATTGTCCCTATCAACATTATCCTTTTAGCTCCTATAATTCTCAGATACTCAACATCAAGGTTTACAAATTAACTTGTGTTATATTTATCTCTCGGAGGTAAGTTAATTTTTTTCAACTTCTAAACACCTACCCGAGTATATATTATTCATTTTTTTATCAAATAAAATGTATTAACTAACATAACAAATCTAAAGAAATATCTGAAAAATTTCTAAAGTATGGGTTTGTGTTTAAATTCTCAATTGTCGTATCTTCTCAATTCCTGGTTGTTTTAATTTTTCTTGAGTTAAGATAATTGATGAATGAGATAATTCCAGCTCAAGAAAATAAAGTAATAATATAAGAGGATTCATTTATGAAAGTAATAACAAGAAGAGAAGATTCAATAAACGATAAGTCAAAAAATGAATAAATAGAATCAAAAATTTTTCATCATTTAAAACAGATAAAACAACAGCAGCTAAATGCATCTCCTGCGATTGCACAAGCAACATAGGAATTCTAAATTAATAATAAGAATTAATATTAAAGAAAAATGAAATATCCTTTTAGTAAACAGTATGTCAAAATATTAATTGAGCAAGTTGTGCAAATCTTATCACATTATCAACATGCATTTATTCTAGATGTTTAATTATAGAGATATGAATGAATGAATGAATGAATGAATGAATGAATGAATGAATGAATGAATGAATGAAGGCATTAAGTTGAAAGCAATCTTTACAAGAAATTGCTTGATTCCTAATATTAACTACTTTAGAAGTAGATCCATCCCTGCCTTAAGTGAAAATTTAAAGACATACAAGAATCAATTATCATTTTTTTATTATAATATCCTTGAATATCGCATACTGTTATTAATGAAAATTCTGTAACCATCTTATTAGCTTAGCTATTATAGACTTTTCTTGCCCATATGAAGCAGGATTTATTATAGTTAGTTAGCAATTTTCATTAAAGGTAACAGATAATAAACAAAAATTTAATCTGATCAATTTAATATGCCAAAACATTTTTGGCTTTTAAGAAATTATTTTTAAGCATCATAGTGCATTAATTCTTAATGAAAAAACTTTCAAGCTTCAAAGGATTGATAAACAAGATATTAGAACCCATGATTAAATTCAAAGTATGAATAAAAAGGAATATACTTAAAATAATGTCTAAACCAGTTTTTTAGAATATGCAGTGGAAGCTGTGCACTAAAGGGGTGCCAATTTACTTTTAGATTATGAAGTAGTCATCACAAAAATTAAAGGTACATTTATCAACCAAAAAAATAAGAATTGCAAGCATACAACAAATTTTGTAAAACTTGAGATATAAGAGATAGGAACTGTGAAATTCAAGCAGCTATGTAGACGTGATGTGCATGAAGGAGATGCTTGCAATAATGATAAATCTGTAGTTCTGTTCGTAAATGTTGAGCAATCTTTGAATCGATAATTCTCAATTCAAAAACTTAAGATCATCTAAAGGATGGATTATAACTTAATGTGCATTTTTTGATTATAATCAGGAGTAATAATGTAAGCAGAATTTCACTTCATACAGAATTAATTCATTAATCACAATAGCATCTAGTAAAAGAATGTAGTTCTTCTATTTGTGCAAGGGTAGGCAGCAGAATCAAAATAATAAAACTATTGGAATATTTAATATAGGTATTCGATAATATTGATGAGGAATGCTAATATCGGTCGCCCATTAGTCACCATCATTATTTGGATTAGAAACAAGTTCAACAAGTGTTATTTGAAATTTTAAAATTTATTACATCTTAAAATATAACATTTCATTACTATTGTTGATTAAGAACAACATTAAAAAGTAGTAATGCAATCTAGAGAATAATTATTAAATGGCAAAGCTAAATAATTACAACAGCACCTTATATAAATAAAACCAGTGACATTTGTTAGTCCAAATTGAGTTGTAGAGCATTTGGTAATTCTGATGGAGGATAAGTTATCATAGTAGAACACGCAATGCGGCACCTCTAAAATACTATTTAGAAGCTGGAATTGAAAGGTTTGACATTAGTAAAACTATTAGAAATATAGCCATTACCAAATTCAATACAAAGATTTGCTAACTAAAATACTTGATTTTGCATGCTGTTGAAGAGTAGTTATCACTTATTTTTAATATCCAGATAGGAATATCGTATTAGATTCCTTAGTAAGCTAGCGAAAGTCCCCACTACGTATTTAGTATGCTACTATTGAAAAGATAGTGCCACTGAGAAATGCTAAATATTTTCAGGAGATAATATACCGAAGCTGAAATTGAACCTCTATGCCTCTATGCGTGCAATTTCTAAATCAATTTTGAATAAAGTGACAAAAGACCAACAATTTAATGATAATTTTGAGAATCATATCAGGATATATAAAAAGCAATCATAGCAATGTGAGCTGATACGTTTGAACATAAATTTAATGGATGGATTTTTTTATTATATCCATGAATCCCTATCATCTTTATTGCTTATAGCATAATATAGATTAATAGGTTAATCAATTTAATTCCAAAACTATTTGAAATCTAGAGACTACGAACTTATGATCAAAATAGTATTGAGAAAAGAAAAAATATAAATTACACAAAAACACACGAACTATTCTTCAAAATGACCAGTTCTCTAATTTCTATACAAGATTTGCCATCATTATGAGTTCCAATTTGGTATTATTCACATGATTCATATTATCATCACATGATCTTAATTATAATTTTTTTAAAAACTTGAATGTCAAGAAACAGAATCAATTAAGGATCAAAAGAAGGCAGTCCCTATTAGGCCAGAAAAACTATGGAGACTCCTTAACAGCTGATTGTCTTATTAAGACTTTCGTGGAAAAGAGGGATATGGAGGACGCCATTATAAAAACTCTATTCGTTGGAGGGTCTAGACCCAAATAGGAGGACACTAAATTCGACCTCCTAATTAAGAGGATGATGACATGCTGGATGGAAAAAGAAAGAGAGATCGTATGGTCTGAAGGAACTTCTAAAGGTGAAAATGAAAGAATGTGGGATAGCAACAGAAATCAAAGGAAACTGGGCCAAATACTCTTTGATGAGGGTCCCTTTAAAAATCACACCCAAGATCTGGATCAACAAATAAGGAGAGGAAAAAGTTTTTAAATTTTTTTAATTGGATGCTTTCCGAACAATTAGTTTGTAACAGAAAGCGCAATCAGAATTCATAAGGAAGGGTACTTGAAAGTATTACCAGAAATTATAGAAGCTGGGTTGATAATACATAGATGGGATTAGTTCCCAGATAAGAAACCTTAGGTATTAGGTCCAAATGAGGCTAAGAGGAATTATCATCTGATCAAGGATGACATGGATATTTTACATCATGTGTTGCTGCATCGAAGTCAGATGGATTACCTTGATGTCTTTTATAAAGACAAGAACTAATACAACATTAATTGATAACATAGGATTGGTCTTAATAAGTTAGCATAGCCAGAGGAAGGAAGAAGTTATTGAAAAGAGTCGAGATAATCCGGCGGATAGCTCTCAGGTGAGAGGCATGTTCCCGACACTGAAGATAGATAAATAGAGACAAGCGATGGTTTAACTTATATAGGAGGAGAAAATATCGGACTAAGAATCAGCGAAGTGTCAGGAATCAGTGAGAAGATCCATAACTAACTACTGCCATATGGCGATGCAGAGCCGACATAGCCCAAGAACTTTAAGAGGTAGGAAAGTTCTGGAAATGACGAATGAATGAAGTGAGATTATTGATGTTCTGTATGATTCATCGGACATGGAAATATTTCTAACTCAAAAATACCACAAGGTTAAGATGGTAATTATTAGAACGATATTGATGAGAGTAGTGGAACTAGATTTTATAAAGTACTGACTGATTCTGATGAACAATTTAAGAAGATTGTGGAATCTTACAACAAGATCATATAACATGTAGGTATGGCAAAATTGTTTTTGATGAAAGGATGATGTGCCCTTTATGTATAAAGCTCTTCAACCGCACCGAAATATTCCAACACTCCTCCCTCATAAGTATGAACCTTATTATTAGAATGGGCCATTCATAATGACACATATTAAACATCCATTATTATTATTATATATGGAATGAGCTTACTCAGAAATTTTATAAGACTAGAGAATTTTACATTATCCCCCTTTATAAACGTTACCCAAAATTTATAATTATTCTGCGCCCATTATATAAATTGATGGTACGTCGTTTTTTGAAGATCATTTAGTCTTTACAGCAAAAGTCATAATAAGTTGGCTTCAAAACTCATATTCAGTTTCTAAAGTTAATTAAAGATATATAGAAATTCAATGCTACATAAAAACGCCAGTACTGTTTATTGATTTCAAATCTGCTTACAAAACCGCAAATCTAGAGCTCCTTTTTATTTTCTAGAAATACTGTAATTTAATTCATATTTAATAGAGTTTACTATAATAAGGAATATTAAAGGTTAGATTTATTAAGGATTAGCATAATCAATTAGCATGAGACATAAGCAAATTATAGGTATTGTAAGAAAGGGATGAATATGTCTATCACTTCAATACTTAGCTAATAAATTAATAGCATCCAGACCTTTGTTAATCTTGTCTAATTTTTTGTTACAAATATAGCCACTTAAAAAAATCTATTTAATTTAAACCTTACTAAGTCTACTTATTAACTATATTTTTCTAAATATTAGCTGTATTTTTATAGACAACTAATGTCAACCGAATGTTAAATCTTATCCTAAATAAGGATATATTTTCCATTAAATTTTGTTTTTTATTATCAAATTTTGGAAAAATGTTGAATGATTGTTGTTGGATTTACTCTTAATCATTATTTTTGCACCTATTATTTAGTTACGAATTAATTTCAAATTATATTTTTCCGGTTTCTTAAAATATTTTGGCCAAGGTTGAAAAAAGGTTGATTTTGATGTTAAACATAGTTCCTTAGTAGCTTTAATTAGAACTTAAGTTTAGATTGTGGAATTACCAAAACTCCTTTTTTTGTATAACTCTGGCTTTGTTGTATTATTACTTAGAAGATTTTTCATATATTTCTATTTATTTTCAGTTTTTACCCAATTTCGCCCCTAATACTTTCTTCATTAATTGATTCATCTTCAACACTCTATTCTAAGACCATATTTATTTTTTATTTCATAAATTTCTACATAAAAGCTTAAGGGTTAAGCTGAGAAAATATATTGAAATGAATTAGTTATGAAGGTAAATAGGAAGAGGAATTTCTATTTGGAACTTTCATTTAAGAACAAGATTTGCAGGTATCCAGATAAGGAAACAACGTGGCTAGAATTCTTATATTGAATGAGAATACCACCGAGACATTAAAATTGAATAAGAAATCAATAGTTAATCGATATCGCTATTGTTAGCCTAATCTGATTTAAGAAATCATTAGAACTAGAAATATTTGAGAAAGAAAAATGTGCTCCAATATATTTATAATAAATCGTATTGGGAACTTAAATTATAATTTATATATAATAAATAAAAATGTTTGAGTAATGTTGCTACCCAAAGGAGAACGTTTCAATACTTTATTAAATATTCTAGGATTTGAAATAGTAAGGTTAAATACATGAGAGGGAAGATCAATCACAACAAAAATAAGTTATCTCATCAATAAATAATTTGGTTGTGCAATTCTAATAAGAAAAAGAATTTAAAGTGGATTAATTTAAAATTGCGCTAGAATTATTGATGGACTTAATCAAAAAAAATGATAAATGCTAGAGGAAGAGCATTTAGATAAAAGCGTGGAATAATTATGCTAAGTAAAATTTAATATATAAATTAAGAAAATTTATCAAAGAATATGACATAGTTGAACTCTATCTATAATTTTTTTCAATTTTTAATCATGATTAGGAGGATATTGAAGATGAAATTAGCATAATAATTGAAATATTTAAATATTATACAAGTGACTAAGAACATTATTTAACGATGATAGATTAAATCTCTGATTGGAGCTTCCAAAAGTAAAAAATCAATTCACTAGATTAGTTAATAGGAGTCCACAATGGCTACTCCTTATTGATCATTTATGTTAATTAATTATTGAAAATAATTAAAACCTAGCAATTAATATAAGAACTCTAAGAACGCTTAATTCACTATTCCTTTAAAATTCAAATTTTAAAGTCATTGAAAAATATGGAATTATTAGTATTTCTTTTTTTATATTAGATCAACTACAAAACATAGTCTATCTTCATATAGATAATTCGAGTCTATGTGTTGAAGTGTTAAAGTTGCTGTCGATCCTAGTTTATAAGCATGCTTAAGAATTTCTTCAAATTTTTGTAAAATTTAATTTCATAATTTCAATCTTCATTTAACATTTAGATAATGATTAAATATCTTTAAATGCAATCAGAATTTTAGGATGCTTTATAAATACATAGGCTTTTATATAAGGATTTATGAATATGGAAATTTTAAGAATATTTACTGAATGGAGTTAAAAAATCAATTAAAACTTAAAATTATGCCAACTGAAAAAAACTTCATTTATAATGCTAATAATTATTGAACTTTTAATTGAGGAAAATAAAATATCGCAATAATCAATAGAAGAATACTTTATAAAATTTTGTTCAAATATAATTGAAAATCTAATAATTGATGAGCAGATTTGCACAAAGGTTTATTAAATCATAAGCAAATTGTTAACAAATAAAAAAATCGTAAATTAATTATTTGATTGCAAAACTTTATAATGTATTACGAATTCTATAATTGTGTAAAAGCACGAAAAATCATTTTAGTTAATTATTGTTTAATTTCTCAATTCATTAATTTTAAGTGATATAGAAAAGATTGATATAATAGTTTCATCAACTATTTCACAATAGTTGCTTATGTTCATTTAAAACACATATGATTATGATACATATTCTGATCTAGATATCAAAATAACTATAGAGATACTTTATTATATATAGTTAGTGAGTTAAGATAGTATTAAATGCTCAGTAATTTGGAGTACAGATTGTATTTAGAAGTTGTTTTACTAAATTTAGAAGAGTTCAAAGAAAATGGAGGGAAAACTGATCGAATTATTTTTCAATATATTATCCATTTATAGTTAGCTTGAAATGACTTAAGACTTCTTAATAAAAAATACAACTGCACTGTTAGAAATCATAGAAAAAAACATTTTAATTTTTGAAATATGTGATGATTTTGCTGTAAAATTTGTTTATTTATACTAGAATGTTCTATAAAACCTCATTAATAGCCCTCATAATAATGTTCATCTGCTTATTGATTAATATATTCCATTGAGTCTAGTAATAATAAAAAACCAACCAGAATAATAATCATTGGTTCTTCGATTTTTTGATATTTACGAATAAATCTCAAAAATTGATTTGTAAACTAGATTAAGAATCCAAGATTTATGCTAAACGGTCATGTAAGAGTTCGAGCAAGAAAAATTTATTCAGTAAGGAATTAGTAACTAAATAGTCCTTATCTCAATACTTTGAATGAATATATAGGCCGTTGTTCATTTTCTTATCAAAATTTGCTAACCAAAGAAGCAAGAGATTATTTGGTAAACGGTATTCATTGTAAATTGTAATTATCACATTCATGTTAGATATAAAGATGATGGATCTGTTTCAAGTTTACTTGTATTTATCACTCCAGATTTAGCATCTATTTGGTGTAAGCATCATGGTGATTCAAACACAAAATAGAAATGGAGACTAGCAACCAAGCATGTAATTTCAATTAAAGACTATTTAAATGATGTAGAAGGATGGAGGTTATCACCTTTTAAGAAATTTGGAAAAAAAAGTAAAAGTGTTTATATTTAATTAGAAATCGATATTAATAACTGTTTTACAATCACAGGCAACATTATTTTAAACAAGTAAATATAATTGTAGAACTTCCATATTTGTGCTCCAACTGCTTTAGATAAATACAAGATGTTTGAATATTTAAGGGCGCTTGTCTAAATCAATTGAAATATTTGAGACATAATAATTTATGTTTAATAATTATTAAATTGAACATATATTTTTAACAATAATTTATGAGATAATTCGGATGGAAAGAAAAAAAACAAAAAACTTTAAGCTTGCCTTTTGATTCCCTACTTAAAAGACTCAATGAATTGTAAGAGTTGAAAAATAATTATATCAAATCTCTATCAAATAAAAACGATTTAGAGAAATAAAATGATGATTTGTAAACACCGAATACCAAAAATAATTTGATTCAAAATAAAATTAAATATGACGCTCCTATTCTGCATATAAGGGATAAATAATATGATTTATCAAAATCAAATTTTCAATAAGAAATTATAAAAAACCTTGATAAACTAAACGTAGAAATAGACAACCAAGCTTCTCATTTAGTAGAATTAAGACATATGTCTTCTATTGAATTTTACTTATTGGTTTCCTAGTATCACCTAAATGAGAATTTGCATTTTAGTAAAAGTGATATTTGCACAATTTGTTAATTTGAATTATTCGAAATTGAAGATTGGGAGAAATTTGACAAAATATTAACTTGTGAATAACTTGTAGTTGGTCTTCCATGTGATCATTATTATCATATGGAATGTTTGACACATTGTATTAAGGAATAACATATTCAATGTCCTATTTGTGGAAGGATCTATGGAATTAAAACTGGTGATTAACCAGATGGAGAAATGATATACCATATTGAATATAATACTCATTGTGAGAGTTACGAAGATTAAGGGACAATAGTCATTTATTATAATATGTATCCAGGATAAAGAAATGGTTAAAATTTCCCATCAACACATAGATAGGCTTTTTTGCCGGACACTCCTGAAGGAAGACAAGTGTTTAGATTATTAAAACTGGCGTTTGAAAGAAAACTAATTTTCACTGTTGGTCGTTCGGTGACAACAGGAAAAGATAATCGAATAGTATGGAATGGCATTCATCATAAGACAAGTTTGATGGGAGGAGTTAGTTGCTTTGGTTATCCAGATCCTACTTATTTTAGTAGAGTAAAAGAAGAACTAGCAGCAAAAGGTATATATTGATAATTTTATTTATATATTCATTATTCATCTATTTTTTTTTTGATCAGCCTTGGATAAAAATTTTCTTATTAGAAACCCTAGAGTCACTACGCAGCACACTACTCCAACACAAATATAAGCGATTGATAAAAATTCATTTTTCCCCCCAAAAGCATTAGTGGTTGAGAAAACAATATATTTTTTTCCATTAAAGGAAGAAACATTATAAACTAGGGTTAAATTATTTCATACTATTATTAATTCGAACTTCGTATATACCAGCTTCTAAATCTTAATCTATTTTCCCCCACAATTTTCTAAATTATGGTAATGCGGCAGTTCTCATCCAAACCATAAATCTTTCTTAAACGATAATTATTTTGAATACCATCTTCCATATCTATCCACTATCTATTCTTGTCTATGTTTTTATATCTTCCATCTAAGTCACTTGGCCAAGCAATTCCTGTTCCTGAAATTTAGATTTCCTTTTTAGTGTTGTTGACAACTTAGAATAAAGCAAAAGTGTCATTAAAATAGCTTTTAGCAATCAATCCGCATGGTATGGCTTTATCATCCCCCTTTAATGGTTCATTTGTAATGCTTAATGATTTTCCCATGTCATCATTAGTTACAACTGGATCACATTCATCCAATTCACTTTCACTTAAATCTGTTCCTGATAATTGTGAAGGAGATTTAGATTTAACATATCTTCTGTGATTCTAATAAAAGTTAGTTAATTAGTAATAAAAGAACACTGGAGACTTGTAATTGCTATCAAGTGCTATTTAAATCACACATTCACTTTTTTAAGCCAAACAATATGAGTCATATTAAAACTCTTAGGTTGCAATGTCATTTGAATAACTTATTAGAACTATACCCATTATTAGAAAAAATAGACTCATCATGGCAAATAGTATTATTGTTGAATTTAAAGTAGGAACTGGTTACCACGCCTTCATGATTTATTGTTTGAAAGCGTATGAAAATCCTTTAGGTTACGCTTGCATTATTGATAAAGAATATATATATATAAAAATAATAATTCATTTAAAACTTTGTTTCATTTTTATTTAATCTTGAAAAAATTCTGAAAATCCATGATAGTATTCTTCTTATTCTTTCTCTATAGTGATTAAAAATTTATAAATTTATGAATCATTTGACAATGAATTAATCATTTCATTGATTAAGTTCTGAATTTGAGATATTATTTCTTATTTTATTATACTAATGTCTAAAATTTTAAACTAAATTTTGCAACAAAACATTCCTCCTCTGTTGAATTTTTACTCCCTAAATGTCCACCCTAATACTACAATTTTATTTTCTTTAAATGCACCTTTTTTGATAGAAAATATATTATACCAAAATAAGAGATTGAATCGTTTGAAAAGCGATCTATATAATCAATATTAATAATTACTATTAAATTTAGTACTAGAGAGAGGAATATTTTAAAAAAGTGTCTTTTTAATATATATTTATACATGATCATCAGATGTAAGTTTTCGAACTTTAAAGCAATTATCCATATATAACAAAAATTTTAATAAATAATTGAGTTTAACAAAATAATTCAATATTTTAGATTTAACCAATTTCTCACAGTGCTTTTGATTTTGCTTTTACAATCAGGATTCATCTGTTTCTTATGAAGCTTATTTCGAATATCTAAAATAAAAAATAGTTTTACAATTTTATAGCACCTAAGTTGCGTATTTAATATCCAAATATTATCTTCTTAATAACCAAGCTTTCACATTTTTCTATATTGTTTAGATATGATTTGCATAGTTATCATATGGCTTTATAAATTAAAATAATTACGAAATTAGAATTAAATTCCATTTGCTAAGGTCGAGCCTCATGTTTTGAGTAGTTCCTTAAATATTTGTGCTTAGTGTGTTTCTCTTCGTTTTTTATCACAGGGCTGTTTTTGTTTTCAAATAAATCATTAACTTCAAAGTATTACAAAGTGTCTTAATCATCTTATCCATTCCAAGATTACTATTCAGTATAAGAACTAGAATTGTGAATAGAGTCACATAATGTGTAGCCCCTAATTAGAAGATCTAGTATTTTTTTGTTTTAATAGACACTATCTATTGAAAATAGTTAATCAATATCAGGCTTTTTCTCAGCACCTTCATTAAATTAATCATCAATTGCTCCCAATTAAATAAGCAAGTTCACTATTTCTTCCTACTATAAAATGATGGCAATTTATAAAGCTGTCAATCCATCGCATCCAGATTAATTGATATTTGCTCCATTTTTTAAAATCAATTTTATCGCTTAAGAATATCCTAATAATGTTAAATAGTGTATTAATGAAAACCCATAAGAGTCTTATTCATCGATAAACTAACTTACTGCTTCTAAATGATTCTATCCTAACACAATAATTTATTAAATTAATTGTGTGACTTTATAATCATCAATTTATTCTATTGATTCAATCTATTCTTGTTCCATATTTGAAACTTACATATTCATTGTATTATTGAAATATGCCTAAAACGATGCAAGTTTTTCTATTACTCGAACTTTAAATTCTGAACTATCAATCTTATCTTATTCAATTAATTTTTCTTTTTATTATTTATCTTTTTTTGTTTTCCTCTTCTGTTTATATGTGAAATAATTGGTATCATTTTATTCATCTATAAATATCCCATTACTGATTATTTTTAACTCCATCTTCCCTTAAACATTTGGAGGCACTATGCATTTCAATACTCCAGGTTAAACACAATTAGCTACAACAGGAACATTTCCAAACAAAATTTGACACTAATAGATTTCTTTTAATGGTTAGAAACATAACATCATTTTCATGCCGCCCTCTGTATAATCCCACTCAGGTGAAAAATCTACTATTTTCACAGATAATGCTTCTTTAAAACTAGAATTAAATTCATCTGAACTTTCTCTATGGGTTGAACTAGAAGCTCCAGTATTTCTTTCTTATTCTAAATATTGTATTCTTTTTTCTAAAATTGATATTTCTAATTAATAATGACAAATACTTTATTTCAATTCGAGATCCTATTATTAATCTTGAAAATCACAAAGAAACCAAGAATCACATTAAAATTCATTATTAATTTGAAGATTAATTAGAGGTTCACTCTATTTAAAAACTTCGTTTTGCTCTCCAACTTCAGAAAATTAGGAATTTAAATAGTGTACTAAATAAATATTTTGTGATTATTCTAATAGCTTATATATTCTTCTATTTAATTATTGCCCATCCTTCTTTACGGTTTAGGAATATAAACAGATAATCATCTAAATCTTTTGTTTAAATATCATACCGGAATTCCATTTATTTTTAGTTTCTCTACATCCTCTCTAGTTCCAACTCCATTATGACGAGGTATATATTAATATCCATCTTTCTTCCAACCTCTCTCTTTTTCAGGCCTTATTAGAAAATATTAACCTGATGGAGGCTAATTGGGCAGGGCGAAATGAATTTCTAACTTCAATTCGGTTAGAATTTAATAAACTTCTTGGGTTTTCAACCACCTTTAAGAAATATTGAGCATTAAATTATAAAATGTAAAAAGATTACTAATTTCATATATTTAAAATTTCATCAAAGTTCCTTATTTAGTTGACTTTGACTCTATCTTATGTTTCATTATATTTTGGAGAAGTGTACTTTGATAATTCTAAAAGTGACGACTTTTAGCTTGACTCATCAGTAGTTAATTTGGAATTTTTCCTTTATTTCTCTTTGAGCAAGATTTCCTTCCCTAAACTACTCAAAACTTAAGGGGAATCCTAAAAAGCGAATTATCCAAGACCAATTGCTTTCATCACTTTATCACTGATATTAAAAAAATTGCAAAGTGACATAATTATTAGCATTAGAGGTAAAATTATAGTGAATGTGGAGTCAAATACTGAGAATTCATCAAGCCTTTTAAAAAAATTAAAAAACTAGTTTGATTTATCTAATGAGGCTGTCATTTGTAGGAAATTATAACAAAGAGGAAAGCTCACCCTTCCAAAGTTTCTAAGATTTAATTAATTTCTTACACAGAACCAAACATTAGACTAGGTGCATCTGTATTATGTTTATTGTTAAATGATATTAATCCACTAATTTTCATTGAAAATAAACCATAATAAACACAAAACATCATGTATGTTAACAGAATCAATAATGTAATATTTGTCAACGTAGTATCACTGATGGATAGGATCACTGAGGATAGTATATTAATGTTAATTTTTTATTTCATCAATACTTAAAATTCCCCGAACATCAATATTATAGACAGTAATGTAAAAACATAACCAATGTATTTGTTATAATATCTACGAAAATAATTTACCCAAATATATTAGGCTTTGATTACAATTTTGATAACAAAGCTTTGATTCTCAATAGAATCAATTTCATATTGTCTCTCAAGCTTTTTTACTTTGTTCAATAGTATTTCAAACTTTGTATTGATTCTTCTTAAATCAAAAACGATTTATTTAACTGATTTATGAAGAACTCCTAATTATTTTAAATTTAAATTTAAATATTCTGACGGTAATTCCTTCTTTCTATAAATTGCTTATTATTTGATAGACTCAAAATAAACAGGAGGAATTAAGGCTATGATTTTAGAAATATAGACGAAAAACTCTGAATTTGAGTAAGAATCTTCTAAAATTAGAAGTGTCTTAATAAAATAAGAAATTACTTTGCAAATTTCCTCTATATCATATCCCTTTTCAGTTCTCTATTCTTCTAAATAAACAGAATCTTTATAGCATTTGTCAAGCACTTCTTCTTCCTTACTTTCCTTTATGTATCTTTTTGGAATCGCAACCAGTCCGAAACCTAATAATAGAACAACCAAAAAAAGTCCACTTTTATTATAAGTAAAAATACAAAAAGTTTGCTAATCCTATTAATGAATTGGTGATGTAATCTGAAGAATCATTATTCATTGCTAATAAGATGATAATGATCGTTCCTAAAACCAGTCCCAGAGTGTAAATTAACAAATTTTTTTTGATTGAGTATTTCATCCTCTCTCTCCAATTAAAATCTCCAGAGTCTTCATAGTCTTGAAAAAATGGAAGAATAAACCTTGAATATATGGGGTTTAACTAACTTACCATGATAATAAAAAATTGGACCAATATAGTATTCTCCAAGTTAAGAATAGACCATATTATAGTTATGTTTTTTCATTATTCTCCAAAGTGCTCTATTATTCTAAAAAAGTCCTTTGCTTTATTATCAATATGATTTACTACCTATAAGATATCAATAGGTAAAACAAGGACAATCGAAAATGTTAGGATCCAAGAAAAATATGTCAAGGCTTTAATGTAGAAGGGAACCTCTTTTGCAGAATAGTCCCATACTAGATAAAAGACGTATACTATAAGTAGTATTCCTTCGATAAAGAACAATAGTATTTCCTCTTACATAAAAATTTATTTTAATAATTCAAAAATAATAATATGTAATTAAAGACAACAGAATATGTCATTGTTCCATGCTCAACATTATTAAGAGTTTTATTTATCACCCAAAAATAAATGCACAACTGAATTACTTAGAAGTCCAATCAATTTTTTTAATAGGTAAGAATTTATCAATTTCCATACTTATCCTTTTAATATATTGGTTTGATCAAATATTATAATAGTGTTTCATTATTTTAATATTATCTAAAATATTATATTATTTGATATATTAGAATATGATGAAAATTCCTTTATCGCCCACATTATTACAATTTGAAAGTATATTTTAATCAAATCAAAATTTCTGGTCTTTAAGTCCTTAGGAGTTAATTAAATACGACTTGGAGAAAAGATTCATAGTAATTATTAATTCAACAATAAAAATAAAGAAGCTGCGAATAGGCGGCGGTTATATCTAATATTCAGATAATGTATCCAATATTTTATATATGTAGAAATACATTGATATTCATAACATAGAAATGCAATTAACTCGTAATACTTAGATTAACTCGCCAGGAGTTAAATTAAGAAGACAAAATTAGACTTTAGAAATATATGGAGATATAGATGATTGGGTGGAATATTTAAAACCCTTCTCTATATAATTCTACTTTTAACAAAGATATTCGATTTAGAAAAAAATTGAAAAAGGAACATTATAAAATTGGTTTACTGTCAAATGCAAATCTACTTCTATTGAGTACTCAGTTCATATAATAGAAAAAAATAATGATTTAAATCGAAGACTCTTAATTCACAACCTGCAACTATTGAGAAATCTAAAATTACATAATCTAATAAAAATGAAGGAAATATTTGAAAGTCGAAATTTGATTTACATTGTATGCGAAAACATTGAGGGAACCTTTATTGATGATTTAAGATTGGATAAATAATTAACTGAGTTTGACATTTCAACCATAATGAGAATTTTGTTTACAATATTAGAGTATTTGCATTTGAATAATGTTGTCCTTGGTCATAGAGCTGTAGTATCGAATTTATATTTGAAGAACCCCAAAGATTGGTCATCAGTGTATTTTATTGATCATTTTGATCTTCTAAGTCAGTACCAGAATAATAATGATTTTTATTCAAAGGCTTAACTGGATGTGAATAGTTTTGGCAATATCATGAAATATCTGTTGGATTATAATAATGATGCAGCAAAACTTTATAGTTATGATTTGCAAGAATGGTCAAAATAGGCTTTTGATTTCTATCAAAAAATAAATGATACAACTAAAAATTATTCATCATACGATGCTCTTTAACATCCATTTATCTTTTAAAGTTCCAAATAGATAGTTGGAAGCTTTAATTCTCGAAAATTATTTCATATGAGCTAATTAGGAATATAATCCTTAGAAATTTCAACTGAATTAAATTCAAACAATTAATCAAGTTCGAATAGTCCGATAAAAAAAGGAAAAAAACTGATTAAAATTAAGCCTGCAGTTTCAACCCCGACTTCTCCTATCCAAAAAGCAACATTTGAAGATTCAAGTTCTTAAGGTTCTATTGATGTAAAAGCAATTTTAGAAAAATATTTAGATGTTAAAAAATCAGACGCTATTATTGAACCGTAAGTTGAATAAAGTCCTTTGAAAAAGTAAGGTAGTGGTTTTAGATTAACTTCAAAAAAAAATACTATTAACAACCCTCTTTTTATAAAAGAGAAATCAAATTTTATCTAAATTTCTATTTAGAAAAAGTCGCCAAGAAAAATAGATGGTATATTTTAAAAAAAAAATTCAGAATAACAGACAAAAAAAAAATCGACCTTAGAACTATGAATATAAATTTGTTATCATTTTATCATTTAATATATTTCTGCAAGGTTTTGCCTCTTGAAATTGTGGCTAACATTTTCGTTCTCTTAGTAATTAAGTTATGATCAAACTTTTTAATTACAACATCATAATTAAAAGCAGGAAAATATTCGGTCATTAGAAACTATTTGTCGATATTAAAGTCAATATTTTCTTCGCTAATTAATTAATCATCCTGAAACATATTAAGCATATCGTCATAAGGAGAAGGAACAGAATTTGTGTTATTATTATGATATATAGATTTGCTATGTTTTCCACTTATTACACTATCATACCTTTACATAGATTTATTATTAGAGGTTTCCTGCCTTATAGTTGAAGCATACGAAGGTTTAGATTTGTTATTCAACCTCATTTCGATTTTTATTGACCTTTCTTTATTTAGTTTTCGCAAGAGAAGAGTTGATCTCTTTTGATTATTTTATTTGAGGTTATCACTGTCCCATCTCACAACCGATGGTGATGCTTGTGTTTGTTGTTATTATTAAATAGAGGTTTATAATTGAGATTGTTAGCTGGATTATTAGCCACTCATATTTTACATATTGTTCTAGATAATTGATTTGGGTTTATTAGTGTTCTTATTAGTATTTTTATTTGTGTATTTATTGGTGTGTTCATAATTTGATTAGTCATTCTATCTAAAATAGTCAGTGAAAGTATTGCTCTTTGAGAATGATTCAAATTTCGAATCTTGAAATTACTTTTGTTTACTGCCTTATTAGTAATTATCCTCTTATTCTTCTTCGACCTTCGAAATGTCAAAACCTAATTCTTGAAGATATTAATCAGAACAATCTATTTATTCTATAAATTTTTCGTTTATCATAAAAGCTAATCCACATTCTTAAACATCTTTTATAGAATATTTTGTTTTAAAGGAGTAATATTTTCTATCATGATAGAATCTTTATTATGGCTTAGAGTTCTTGTTTATGGTTATGATTTTGTTTCTATTCGCTTTTACAAACACAAAAGGGCAAGTATTTAATTAGTGAGTCCATCCACATATTTCACATACTTGCCCAAAATTTTTATAACTTTCATTAAATATTAGGTTATCTTGAAGCATTTTAAACCTTTCTAAATCTTTTTGATCTTCATTTAATATTTTCATTATATCATCAATATTGAGATAAATCAATTGAGAGAATTTTACAGCCTTCAAATAAGTTTAGTACGAACTTTAAGTGAGGCATTCCTTTTCCCCGAATACCCCGAATTCACAAGTTTTAAGACGAATATTATTAGCCAATATATCTAATTAACCTTTTAATAAGAAGTAAATTTTGGTTCCTTTTTCGTCTGGAGACCATATTTTTTCTTCTGGAGCAAGTTTTTTTTCATGCACATATAAACATAATTTTTTTAGACAATTTTCACATAAATTTGCTAAAACTTTTGAATTTTTTAGAGTGTTGAAATATAAATCAATAGCAACCTTTTCCTTTAAATCTTGTGTTAATTACTACATCATCAATTCAGCTTTGAATTAAGACTCTTATTCAAGTTTTAAATAGTGCTCGAAGTACTTACGAACTTGCAATTATAATTATTAATTTAAGTTTCTGCTTTTTAGATAATTGGTTAAGATTGATAATTTTTATTTGAATTGTTAATCTTTATCTTAAAGCAATTTGATGATATTTCCCACTGTTGAAACACTATAGCCTAAGACACCGCAAACTAGCAATGCTAAAAGGATTGAATAAATTTTCTCTATGTCAGTTTGGGGTGTAATATCCCCATAACCAATAGTTAAAGTTGTGATAGTGCAATAATAAATTGAAAAAATATATTTCTTTGTCCAAACTTGACCATCGATCCCATAATGAGTAAGCCAGGAGTAGCTGCTTTGCTAAATTTACAGTTCTCCTAATAAACCCCAAAGACAGGCACAAAAATGGCATGTTATTATAATAAAATAGATAAGTTTGGCCAATTAAATCAACATTTTGATGGACTCTTTTGGGTTCAATATTTCTTCAAGGTTATTTGCCATTTTTGGTAATTTAACAATTCGAAATAATAAAGCAAATTTCAGGATGTCAATCTCATATTGTTAAAACAAAATAGGAACTAAAATTAATACGTCAATCATTAACTTTCCTCCTTTCATATAGTTTTTTAATATTTCTGCTTGATTCCTATGGATAGTACCTTCGTGATAATAGGCAGTTTATAAAGTAAATATTACATCAAATAAGAGTAGCCATGAAGGAATGGTGTTTAAGTATAAAACTACTTAATCTGAGGCCTTAAAATCAAAGCTAAGTTCCAAAGGAATGTATATCAAATTAATAATAACAGAAATTAACATCAAAATATCCCAAATTATTTTAATGGTTTAATCAGGATCAATTATTGGAATCAGCTATAAAATTTTGAAAATTTAGTTAAAGTTGCATTTTTCTTTTGCAACTTTGACATTATTCAAAATATCTCTGTATTCTAATAAGACACTTGGATCACTTCCTGCATCATTAACCAAACCCAATATTCTTGTGTTCAATAATTTAAATTTGATTTTGTTTCCACTTGTTTTAATCTGCCTAATAAACTTTGAGACATAATATAAAATATTCAATGATTTCTGTTTCCAAATATTTTAGAATCCATCACTCGAAAAAACCTACTCATTTTGCGGACTTGGAGATCCATTTTGGCTGATTGAGTAAATGTCCCTAATTAATGAAATAAATACTAATAGCCTTGAGATGATGACTTAGAAAGAATTGATGCTTCCAATACAACATCCTGCTCTTATCCTCGTTTGGGAGTTAATTAATTTTTCTTTACACTATTGATCCTATTATTCTTCAAAATGCTTTTTAAAGCAGTGGGAGATTTTTCTTAATGGTTCTTGGAAAAATATGAGAATAAAGTACTAATTTTGATCTTGTTTATGTTTATATTTCCATTATAATTAATAATTAATTTCAAAATGTATTCTTTATTTCATTCCTCTAGATATTTATCGAAAAAGCATTCCAATTTCGTCCATTTAATGATAATACTTAAGATTGAATATTATAATAGTAATTTCCTTTATACAGATCAGTCTTTATTTTATCTAATCCCAATGAAATTATCCTTAAGTTAAAATCGTTGACTACTTCAATAGGATTAACAAATGTAAACTTAAAGATTAATCAAAATAGAAAAATAAAAATTATAATATATAACCGTAATATTGAATAGGTTTCACATACATGTTTTTGATTATATTAATGATTTTTCTATTACTTCCTCTGAGTTCTCAATTAATCTTTTTATTCTTGATTCAGTTAATTATACTAATGGGTTTTGGACTGAGTCATAAATTCCATTTATGGTTGCTCTACTTTAAAATTTAGTGACTGGTGATGACACGCTAAGTTAATCTAATAATTTATTGGATTCAGCTAAGGCTTAGTCAATCCTCTTTTGTAATGATTAATCTGCAATTTGAAATTCCTCATTAGTAGCTTTTACCGAAAGAATAGATTCTTTTTTTCTATGATAGGATACTTACTATTCTTCTTAGTAATATGAGTTTGGAGATTATAATATGGAATCAGGATGGTGATGCTCTGCAAAATCAACAGAATCGCCATCTAAATTGCTAACAAAGTGGTGATATTATTTCTTTGCCAACACTTATTTAGTTGACAATCTTTCTTCTGGATCATGGGCTAACATCTCTTTTAGTAGAGCATAAAGACTACTCGAATATGAATACTAAGCAAATTTTTAATCCAGTCTTTTAAACAACAAATTTAAATTGACAAATTCCTCTAGGTAATAATCACTAACAGGTTATTTTGTGATTAATTAAGATAATAACAAACCTAAACAAAAAATGTTAGCCTTTTCTTAATTAATCTTATTTTTTAATCCAGAAAATAATTCCAATTACTCTGGTGCTAAATATTCAACTTGGCGATCATTATATTTAACCTAATGAAAATTAGATATTGCCTCTAAAGCTACGATGTTGTCTACTAATTTAACAAATCCATCGTCTGTAACTAATATTTTTGATGGATGTAAGTCTGTTATTTCATTATTATTTTGTTTGCAATAATCCATAGCATCACACAATGAGAATATCAAATAATATAGTTCCTTTTCTGTAAACTTTTCTTTAAATTAAGTGATAGTGTTCTCATAATATTCAACCTGGATGGACAAGTATCTAATTTGAGAACATAAATCATTTGCAATTAGTTTCTAAAATCCTAAAACCTTCAGTAGGTTTATATTGTCATACGATTTTCTCTTTAGATAGGTTTCCTATTTCATATTGTGTTGCTCTGACTCAAATATTTGTTTATTGATTATAGCAATTTTTCTACCTGTTTCACTATGTTTATAGAGCTTAATCTCTCCAAACACAGGATGAGTTTTTAGAGTCTAATATGCATAATTTTGATCTAAAACTAACAAACTTTGTTATCCATTTGAGTTTCCCATTTTTAACTTCTTTATTAATATTCGTTAATATATTATTATTTATAGAATATGCCTAGAAAAGCCTATTAAAATCAGTATATAATATATTGAACAATAAACAAATTATAATCTTCTTCCAAACATAAACCTTTAATTTACAATCTTAAAAACAATATAACATAAATATTTATATATCAATATTCCTTTATTTATTTTAATAATGATAGTGTAATTTGCTCATTAAATTTTTCAAAAGGAATAAACATCAGTAGATGTCTAATCAAATATATTTAATTATGAAGAACTAAAGTTAATAGTAGTATAATTACTTTCACTTTGCTTGTAAAAATACACTAAACTAAATAGCGTCATACTTAATCCTCCTGCTAGATAATAAAGAAGACAACCAACTTCCAGATTATAGATATAAGTGCTTAAATAGGAATTCTTTTCGGTAATAATTTAGTAAATAAAAGGTTCTATAAACGAAGGAAAAAACACTACCAATGCCCAATATTCATCACTAACATATCTTTTAAAATGTTCTTAATAAAATAATAGTTTAATATTTTGGAGCACTCCATTTAAGCCATTCTAGTAACTTTTCCTCAATTATTGTTGCCCACAAACAAAATGATTAGAGTTAATGCAAAGATCATTATAGTATATTTCGTTCAAAAATTCCAAGTCTCCATTCTCTTTTGCTAATGGTAATGGTAATACAGAATAGCTTTGTATTGCTTCATCATATTTTACATAAATATCTGCCAAACTTTCTTTTGTGTAGGTATTAACTATCATTTCATTTAGCAGATTGTAGTGCTAGATGTGTTAATACTCATGAGATAAATGTACATATTATTCTGCTCTTTCTAAATAGTCACTTGGAATCTAATTAGAAAATAGAAGTCCTCCAATCCAATATATAGTCATGCTGATAAATATGAAAATAACAATTGTAAATTCAAACCACATTGACAATTTTACATCGTAAATTTTGGTCTAAAGTATTTATTGCTTAGCATTGGTTTTCAAAGAGTAATTTGGTTTATCATTTAAAATTTCTTAAGAAACAAAGTCGCTAGTGACTAAATTTAAAGTATTCAATTTCGAAATATTCTCAAGTATTTCAGAAATATATTTTACTTCCTTCTAGAATTCATTTACATTAATTCTTGTAATTAATAAAACAATTTTTTCTTAATAAATGTTTAGCTTTTTATAATTTCTTAAATATGGAAATAAAGGCAATACCAAAATTCCAATTGTAAAAAATGTTATATAATCCTAAACATTTATCAAATTATTAATGTCATTCACTATTCCATCCATTTAGAAATCATTAATCACATCTGTACTTTCTGTTATATCATAAAATCTACTGATCAAATTAAATAGTTAATTTGTTTCATTAATTGATAACATTATTTAGTAGTTACTTAGAAGAAAATCATAGATACTTATTTCATCCTATTAATAATTATCCATGTCTGTATAAACTTCGATAGAAATATTTTGTTCTTCTACCTTAATATACTAATCAATCTCTGAATTTAACAATTCCCTGTATGTAACTGTCGTTTCTGTAATCGATTCATAAAAACTATTAATTGAAATATTATAATTATTAAAGTTATCCTCTTAAAATTACTTACTATGCAAATATATTGCTTATTATGCACTATTGATATATGCCCTATTAAATTCATATGGAATGAGTAAATGAGCACTTGTAGTTATAACATCTTCTAACATGCTGACACTTAGGACAGATAAAGTAATTATAGAGGCTAAGGAAATAACAATGATAAAGATCCATGATGATATTAAATAATAGAATTGATGAGGCATTTTAGAATTCATATAAATTTTTTCTAGATTTTCTCTTTCGGCTTTCGACATTCCACTTGTTGTGGATTATTGTTCATCTAATATTCTTTTTTATTTGTTTTATTTTATTTTATTTACATAAACTACACATTATTACTTTTAAAATGTAGGTGGATCTTCATTTAACTACTCTTTTTATTATTATTAATGATGTAAATATCCGTATTCTAACTCTTCTTCAAATTCTCTCATTCCATCATCTTGTATTCCATTTTTAGATATAAACCTAGGATCATTTAAGCCTTTCTATTTTAATTATTGTTCATAAACATTATCAAACATATTTTTAAAATATCTTTATTATCCCAGTAAATCAGAGGAGTGATGCTTATTACTTAACATTCCTCTTTCAGTATCCTTAGGAGTTTCTAATTAAATTCGAGGGGACTCCACCTAAAATGCAGGTTACATGGGTTGACTTAGCGAAATGTTGAATTATAAAGTTCCTTTTTCTTCTTAACCATCTATTTCATCATTCATTTAAGCATTATATTGAAGGTCTTTGTTTATCATAATTGTGGACATTTTCTAATCTGTTTATGTGTAATTATGACTTATTGTTAAATATTATGATATAGTCGATACGGTTTGATTAACTTTTGATGTTGCTTACGATAATTCTTTTATATCAATTATAAAATAGGTGAATACATTCTACCTCTAAGATTCTGTTCCTACAAATGTAAAAAATTCTTAAGAAAGACCCTTGAAATTCTTTTCAAATTTTTGAAGGTCAAATCTTAGACGAAACCCTCTTGATGTTTTTTTCAAGCCTTTTTATTCTTAAGCAAATTCTTTCATCAATTCTCTATCTTTTCTATCGAATAATTCAACTCTATTATTGGTTGTTGACATTTTTGATAATTCTTTATCATACTAACTCCCTTATGAATGATTTTGATATTATTAGCACAAACTGATAAAATTTGAATTTATATGGATTGATGATTTCAAATCTTCGAATTCGAGATCAGCAGTAACATCACTATCCCTATAATAATTATTTTATGCCTCGTCTATATCGTCCAATACTTTATAAAAATTTGGAAATAACACCTAAATTAATCCATATTTTAGTATATCTGCATAAGAAAACAATTTTTCAGAATCAGATAACAAAGTAAATAAGTTCTCGCTCATGCCCAGTATAGACCCACGTCCATCAAACATTATTGCATCCTAAAATGAAACCTTCAACATACAAACATTAAAAACACAATCTTCAAAATTGGAAAAATCATTTCTTAGCGATAACATAATAGGGAAAATAAACTAATTTTTGTTAGATACATACACTCTTCTATTATCATACATCAGATAAGTCTATCCAGTTTATATATATTAATGAATAATCTAGTTATGAAAACTTGCTATATGAGGAGGCATTAATTAATTAATATTGATGATTTTAGCTTATTCATCTTTATTGTAATTAAAAAAGGCTTCTATTCTTTCTTCATTTTTACTTAGAATATACCCTAAAGATCTAATGAGTCCTGTTTTTATTAGAGTGAACTGCCCTCTCATTAAATTAAAATTATTCAAACCCTCATCTTCCCTATACTGATCTCTATTCTTTAATTCTTATATTTTTTATTCTAAAATATTAACTCTTCCCAAAGAATTAGATATTACAAGATAGCTTAATTAAAGAATCTTTAAAAATCCAGCATTTTCATAATTTTGTGATAATTAGGATATCTCATACTAAATCTTTTTATTCTATGTCACTATTTCTATAAGAGGTCTATAAATCTTTTTAATAAAAATTGAAATTGATTCACTACCTTTCTCAATTAATTACCAAATGATTATCTTTTAGGTAAGGATTGATACAAAGGATTTCTAATAACTTGCGCATGAATTTTCAATTTGAATCACAGTTTCTAAAGATAAATCATCAAGTAATGAATCCTTCTTATTATTTTCTTACTAGATTTTGTTGAAATAAATCAGCTTTAACTCTAATTTCTAAATAATTAAATTATTTACTTTGATAATTTTTGGGAATATCATCCTATAAAAATAGCTCAGTTTTGCTTTGTGTTTATAACAGAATAGTTTAAGAAAGTAATAACTCATCAATTTATTCCCTGAGTACTTTTCCAAAAATGATGCATACAAATAATTCAATCTATCTTTTCTCTTTAACTTTGGATGATTTAAAGTTTGAAAGAATAATGAATCCATCAATTTAACAACATCATCAAACTTTAAATTCAATTCTCTCAGACATCGATAATTTAGAGTCATATCTTTATTTCCACTTACTATGCTTTAACTATTACTATCCAATTTTAAATTTTTGCCATATTTCGAACAATAACATCCAACGTTTGAGCAATGATTAATGTGATTTCGAATAGATATATAAATTATCAATTTTTGTTCCTACGAAGAATACATTTCAATCAATTCTTAAGAATAAATCCAAAAATCTTGTATGTTTCTATTCTGTATCAAATTGATAAATATATCTTCATAAAAACTCAGCCCCAAATAATAGGATAAAGGGCATAATCCAATTATAAGATAAATGCTACAATTTTCAATGATCAAATCATATTTAAAGATGATCTAAACAATGTTAGCCATTGTAAAAGCTAATGCAGTGCCCAAATAGCATTTTGTTAAAAATATAGAGGGGAAGGGTCTCTATACCAAACTATCGTAAATTGATACTACACTAAATAATATGATACAAACCACAATGGATAACTTAGAAGATTTTGCTGGAAAATATGATGAGATTGTAATCAATGCTTTTAATACTTACGCAACTTGATATAATGATGTTTTTCTTTTGTATCTATTTATATCATTGAATTCGTGGCCCTGAGAAATATAACTAATCATTAATGAAATTATAACAGAGTAGGCCCCAAAAATAACTCCAACAAATTTTTATATTAAAGAATTTGAAAACTAAAATAGTTTTATTCATTTCTTACTATTAATTGTGAATTGAATTCTAAGTATATATCCTAAAGAATAAAGGAATAAAAACTAAGCCAAACACTGTAGAAGCTACTAACACTTTAATAAAACGGGCTACTTCAGATTAATTTAAAAATTACTTATTTTCTTGATCCAATTTTGATGAAAACTAATTTAATATTGGTAATATGATTAATATTAATATTGGCAAGTGAAATAATGCATAAAACACCCAAAATGTTGAGTCTGTATTTTCCTATTAGATAAATTTTATTAAGGTTGAATACTATTTTTGATAAATCAATTACCGATGAAAATGACGCTATATAGGTTATGAATGTGTCGGCTTCATTATGGTTATCAAATAGTTTTGAATAAGGTTAAACAAAGTATATAAATATTCCTAAGGCGTATACTGAATTGGTTATTTTAAAGTTTGTTGGATTAGCTAGAAATGAGAATAGCGTGACTAAATAAGTGTTGATAATTTTATATATCATTAGTTATAATTATTATTCCTTATAAAAATTCATATTATTTTCTCTAAAGTGTATAATATGAAAATTTTGAAATAATTCATTTATATAACACACATAGAACATTAATTATATTTATAATTCATTTTTACAAACTTGTTTCATTTAATGGTACGTGATTGTTGTTATGATTGTTTAGCTGATTTTCCAACTCCATTAGATTACTATTCCTTAATTTTTTGGAGTGATAGGTGGGGTCACACTCATCAATCTAATTTTCTTATTTATTTTTATTGTATAATTTATAAGCAATCTAGATGTGATATGAATTTCTTCTAAATAATTTAAACTCCTCTTTTTTTTTTGTTTAAATTTATTAAGGTGGCTATTGATTTTATTTTTTCTTTTTTTATTTCTTCACACCTTAAAATGATTAATCATAGAAACTTTTATTGATTTGTATGACAATCTCGTGAAATGTCTTGACCACATCTCTAAATTCTTGATCATTATATAACTTTTATCTAGCAGAAACACATCCCTCCTAGATTTTATTACTCATTAATTTTATAATAAATGAAGTTTAGCTCCAATTTGCAAATTCAATAAAAAATAACAAGAATTTTGGTCATAATCAATTAAACAATTAACAAATGATATTTTGTGTATAATCATTTCTATATTCCCTTGTCTTCCTCCTGCTCCTCTTCGATTTTATACATAAAATTAATAGCCTCAGTAGCTTATCCCTTATTTACTAGAGTATTTCTCGTTGTTTGTGCTGTTTTATCTGGATTCGGCGAATTAGTAAAAGTATCACAATTCATGATGAGGGAGGGTTTAAAATTATTAAGTTACGGTGAAATAGTTTGAGTGTATTGGTCAAATTCAGAGGTTTGAAACTTTTTCATATTTTTTCTGGGTTGAGGATTCTATGGTGAATAAGCATTTTGCTGAATTTATCCAAAGGATTTCATATTTTGCATAACAGGAATACTTAATTATTTTGTATTTTCTTCTTCCACAATTTCCTCTTCAAATTTTTATAGAATTAAATTTACAACTTTAGTATTGAAATTTTGAGTTTAGAACATAGGATTCTATTTAGTAACATTAGATTATTAGAATTTGATCTTTCTGCTTTCGTATTTTTACGAAAAGTATGGATGCAATAGAGCATTTTAAGCAGTAATCCTTTCTTTTGGGTTTAGTTTGAGTAATTAAGTTATTAAATCTATAGCTTCAGCTGGAGTTTTGTAGATAGTCAGACTATCTAAGACAATATTGCATTTCTTATTTAATCGTAGGATCTCTTAATAATCACTTCCAGGAAAGAGTTCTTTTCCAGTACACCTATATAGTGGTAAATACTTTAATTACAGTTTGTAAAATATACAGCCAACACTAAATTCATCGCAAATTGCAGTATATTTTTAAGTTAAATCTTTTAAATTAGCAATTTCAGGTGCCACATATCCAGGTGTTCCACATTTTGGGAATGGAAACACATCCACATTTTGATGGGTGGCTAAACCGAAGTCAACTATTTTTAGAGTTGATATTTTATTGGTTTATTTAAACATAATATTTTCTGGTTTTAAATCTCTGTGCATAATTCCCTAAGAATGCATATAATCAATTGCTTGTAAAATTAACTTTAATAGGAATTATTAGTTACTTTAATTATTATTTAAATTTGTTCTTATTCGAAAATTGATTATCTTTAATTCAGTAATTCATGCAAGCTTTTCCCTTCCAAATATTCCAAAATCATATAAAAAGTGTTTTCTCCTTCATAAAGATCAATCAATTGTATAATGTTGTCGTGTTTTAACCTTTGCATTAGTTAGATTTCATTGAACAAAGCATTCTAAAAATTTTAAATATTCTTACATATCCTCCATCTTCTTGCAAATATCTCTTGTCAACACATTTGGATGCAAATTGAGATTGATCGTATTTTTTGGTGACCAAATAAACCTTTAGTTAACGTGAAAATATACTTTAGAAGAACCACCTTTGCCCAACATATAAATGGGAGTATAGAAATCGCTAATGTCTTTGTACATGATTTAACCCTGCATTAAATCTTTAAGCTGTTGCAAATCCTTTGTTGGAGCAGAGAAGAATTTTATTTCATCTTTATATTGAAATCCAAATTGTTCAATTATTGGGGACTTCGACTTTGTTATCCAATGAATTTTGGATGTTAAACTTAATTACACATTGTATTTTGGGTTTTGTTGTTTTGGATTCTAAGAAATTTTAAATAATTACGCTTGAAAGTATCAAAGCCTTGGGAAGGAGGTAGACGTAGTATTTAGAATCAATAACTAAATGCTTGCGTGAGCATTAAAATGTTAGCAGGACTTAATCGTAATTTATTTGCTGCATTTAATAATTAAATAAATGCGAGTTTGATTACAATATATATAACAATGTTCGTTCATATATAATAATTATCATCTTTTTAAAGCTGGTATAAATGAAGCCTATTGTTTGAATGTATTCATCTTTTCATCCTTGATCTTGGCATCATCTTGCAAGGCAGTTTTACGAGCATTTGCAAAGGTTTGCCCAAAAATATTAGCTGCAACTACTCTCTTCTGCATGCCAGTATACCCAGGTAAAGGATCCCCCAGAGGAACTACAATTTATTATATATAGATAGATACTTGGCACTTTTTATCCAGGGTCTCCATGGAACTTGTGAGTTGCTTCATCGATGGTTTCGGAATGATGTTCATATTCACTCTTCCAATTGCTGAGTGATTCCTTCAATCTGGGATTGCCGGATTCATCCAACCTAAAGAAATTCTTAGCAGTTTCAGTTTGAGGCTATTAGGTTGTTTAAATATTTGAATTACAATCTTATATTCTATAGGTTTGGGTTTCACGCCAACGATTTCGGCAGCTGTTCTGAGTTGCACCTTATTTTAATTTTGATAAGTGTCTTATAGTTGTGATTTATATCTTAATTCGGGTGGAACATCTTGTCCTTTGTAATAGTCATCGTGTTAGATTTGGTATGTTATTTTCCCGTAAGTTTAAGCAAATAGGTTTTCAGCCTTCATTGATTTGATCTCTCCAGCATAACCTGAATAGATTTATATAACTCTTTACCTGGAATGTGGTTTTGTGGCTTTTCTTCCTAATAATAACCGACTTATTGTTCAAAAAAGCCTTTTGGAATATGTCCTGTATATCCAGGAACGATATATTACAATCTGGTGCCTTCGAACATTATTAGAAAATAAATAAAATATTAATAAAAATTAATATATCTTCTCATGCCTTTCTCATTAATAAATACACTCTTTAATCGTCGGCAAATTTATCAAGTTCTTCAGATTTACCACTCAGCTTTAGAATCAATCCCCCGAAGGAAGCAAAAACATTGATCATTTTATTTTGATCCTTGATCATTTTGAATACTCGACCAAACATGGCATACTGAAATTTCTCCAGCAATTCATTGTCGATTTATGAAAATTCCGGCTTATATTTACCCTAACCTTAATGAACAATTTTACTTAATCCATTTCTTGAGATATTCCCAGGGATCTAACAATCAGGACTCTGTATTCACTGCCTTTGTCAATAGGGTAGATATCGATATTAACATCCAATTCCATATCCACTTCCCCTGACTTTGATTTACATTTTATTCTGGACACTCTTTTGAATGACTATCCAGCCTGGTCAATATCTTCAACCTTGAAATATCTAATCTAATATGGATTTCTTACTCGTCAATCAGTCTCTTTTCTGCTACGACCATTTATAAATTATTTAATATAATTCACTTAATATTTACTTAAAAATGTAATATTTTGATATAGTATATATTCTACAATTCAGTATTGCTCTTACACCATCGACCCTTTGATTTTCAAGGGCACTTTGCTCTTGGTTTGAGTGCCTAGTCCAGACCCTGGAGTTTTTAATAGGAGATTCACCTAACTCAACTGATTTTAATTATTTGAGTAAGTTTTACAAAAAATAGCAGCCTATTTTATCATATTCCCATCATTCGTAGATTTTTTAGCACTGTGAAATTAATTACATTGTTGAAGCACTTTTCTGAAATCGTGACTATTTATCGAAGAGTTCAAGCTTTTACAAAAATTATCCTTCAATTTTAATGGAGTTCCCTGTCGAAAATGATTGCTCTCCACTTTTCGTATTGACATCGGAGTCATCATCAAAGATCTTTGGTTCACTTAACCAGGAGCATTTACTTTTTTTAAAGGACTTTGAGGAAGTCCTGTCGATCGATGAGAATTCAATTGCTCTCTCCTCTAACCATGAACTGAGATCGGTCGTTGTATTTCAACCGAGGGAGGCCTGATCTAACTCAATCGCTTTATTAGGAGTTCCTGATCAAAGCTTTATAACTATTGCATAAAGCCTAATAAGATGCATTTATACCTGGGTTTGGATTTATCAGAGGTCTAACTTATATCAAATGTTGAAGGGATTTCTAGAAAGGGAAATTGCAAATCTGCATCAAATATGCTATGATAATGGTAGCACTTCTGCTGACCCCCACATAACAATGCACTAAAACATTGCATCTCTATCTGTTCTCTTGAATGAATTAAATGGATTCGTCAAAATGCCTTTTGATTGGATCGTGACTTGTATCATTTAAATGGAGAATCTATCATATGAATGCTAGTTACTTTGTGATTAGCATCTTGGAATTGCAAATGGGCCATTTCTGATCCAACAGTAAGTATTGCGCCTATTTGATTCTATTGCAACAAATAGGGATTGAGGGCTGCTTCTATCCCACTTAGAAATAGAGCACCAAGTTCTTAAGTTCTAGGTAAAATGCAGTCCATGACTCCAGAAGGAAAAGGTGGTCGCTATTACAACATCTATATTTTATAAATTTATTGATATATTTTATTTATGAATGTATATTTTGGAACTCAATTTCTTATACTTCCAAAACCTTTAGAGACTAACCAAATATGCTAGATTTTATAAAAGATTCATTGATTTATATTCATACATCACTCCTAGATGCTACAACACTGAACAAATATGAAAATAGTTATTATGTTGATATCAGAAGACATAGAAAGAATTTATAATTATTTGCTTGTTTGTATAATTAATTCATACACACATGCATTTTACATATTAACTCTGTCATAATGATTATTCATTTATGCTTAGTGTAAATTCGATGTCGATGTACTTCTCATCTATTTCATATGTCTTATCTTCTTTAAGTAAATGTATTTTTAATTAAGGCTTTTCAAAGTCTTCACTGCCTGTAAGAAAGCATTTTATATTCATTAAACTTATGGTCTTTTATTACGACAATGCTATTTAGGATTAATTTCATACAATCCTTCCATTTTCTATTCTATTTTGGATGATGAGACACCAATTCAAATTGGAATAATCCTTCATCATCTCCTGCATATTGGATCTTTATGGCCATATCAAAATAATCTGGTTGAGAATAGGGTATAAACTTTTCTTAACTAAATACACTCTATGATTATTACACTAAAATACCATAAATTGAACTTTAAACAAAATTGATTTTTTCTTCAGTTAATAAATATCATACAAATTCTTTTTGATATGCATTATTTTTTGTAACGATTACTATTTACAATATAATTGTTCTAGTGATTCGAAATAAGATTCATCTAAAACACCCAATTTTTAAAAACAATCTTTGTAGTTAAACTATTACTTTATAAAAATCTCTAAATTAAATATAGTAAATTTATTTACATTAGCCTTTTTAAGCCACTTATCGAATTGAATTGCGATTTTCTAAAGGTATATTTTAAGATCCATTGTCTATTGTGATGGTCTCTTTCGAATTGCTACGTAATTCATATAATTCTAAATCGTCATCTATTTTATCTGATAAATCTATGATATCTAACGCTTTAATTGAGTCTACTTTCAAATTAGTTGCAAACTAGTGATTTTTAACAGCAATGATAATTTTTAATTGTTAATCTTAAAATTCCTCAAATGCATATAAATTCAATATGAAAGGATGCTATATTAAGAAATGTTCCTCAACAACAACTTTATGAATATTACCTTTCTAGGTGATCGTTGCTCCCTATAAACTAAACAACTCTGATGCTATCTTTACCTTCGAAATCAATGTGAGTTCTAATTCAGTTATATCCAAAGGCAAATCGCTGACTGATAGCAATATTGGAGTTCCGATGTTTGTGATAGTAGCAACATTCTATATATTTATTAAGGGATGCAGGATATGCAATTTTAATTACTGTACTTTTTATGAAACATCAAAGTACAGTTTGAAAGGACCTGAAAGGAAAGTTACTTTTCTAATTGAATACAATCCTCCTTGATTCGAATTTAATTATTGTTTGAATTCAAAATTCACCTTTTTTTCTTCTCTCAACTACTTCACATCTGAAACTAACTTCAGTTTTCTCTTATCTTTGACTCCCCCTCCTTTATGTTTTAGAGTGATAGTAAAGGTTCCATTACATTCAACTTACAAATATTTTAAAATCGAAAATTTAAATACAAAGTCATTATAAGAAATTCTTTGCTTGACTTAAAAAGTCTCGAAATATCCAATATATGACAATTTGAGTTTAGTTAATGGAAGTTTTAAGATTTAAAACAATTTTGTGTATCTACTTCCAGGTAGATTTGATTGAAGGGTGTCTTTAAAAGTCTCTTAGAATGATAATTCCATTTTTTCTCTGTAGAAATATATCAATTTTTGAACCAGTAAACTTGAATGTAAATTTTTAAAATCAATATTATTATACTTTAAAGCTCTGTCAATATTATCCTAGTTTAATTCTAGTTTTGGATACACATTTTTTAATTTCAAAATCATAAATTAATATTCAAAGATCACTCTGTGTAAATTTAATTGAGTTGCAATTGAAATTATGTCGTTTACAATTGAGGAATAAAATTCAGAGAAATCGTGTAGATTGTGAATTTATCCTTTTAACTTTGTGTCACTTAATAAATAAGTTTTAAATAGTTCTTTGGGATCACTTTGAATATCCCGACTGATTACAACATCATCAAATTTAATTTCATTTAATTAATCAAGAATTGTTTGCTCCAACAATTCACATTGAACTACTAGTGGTAATCTTCTTACATAATTAAATTAAATCTTATAAAGAGTGAATCCTAGTTTTTCAACAATGCATAATAAAGCAAATCTTATTTTTAATTAAGATTATAATTATTGCAACAATAAATCCCCAGACAGATTCTGTGGCACAGAAGCCATTAAATTAATACTGCCTCTCTTCAATTATTATTTATTAATACCATATTAAAAAATTGCCATATTAATAATCCTAGTCCCCACAATTCTTCTTCATCTGCATGAAATTACTATTTTTGTTTATTGACTTCAATCTATTAATGAACAACTTATTGTATCTCATCAGAAAAATTGAGAATCTTTTCAACTCCATATATTTAATTTCCTCCTGAAAGCAAATCAATTATCTTGCATAATATTGTAAAATACTCGATATTGTATCAACACCAAAAAATCCAAGATGGTTGATTGTGACTCATCCCCTGATTCCTCAAAATTCCTTATATTTGATTCTACAGACTTCCTGACTAGGAAATCAAAGGGATGTATCGCATTGAATATTGGTTGTATAGTGTTCGGGTAATGTTCTAGAAAGAATTTCTCCTACCCTACATAAATCTCTAAGGCTTCCTGCTTCAAACCTATGCTCTCATAAATTTTTGCCTTTTTTTCTTTTAATGAGTAAAGCTTATAAAAACTGAAAGATTTCTCTTTTCTATTTATTTAACACAATATTGTTACATCAATTGCTCTTAGTCATAAATTTGATTATCTAATATATCATATTGACTCTCCAAATATTGTTGGACTGATAATTAGAAATAATATAGAAATTCCCTCATACATTGTTCCTTATTCAACTCTCTATCAGGGTCATAAAATATAATCTTCTAGACTTTATCCTTTGGAAATTGCTTCACAATCTACAAATCTTAGCAAATCAATTCGTGTGTCTATTGGAGTATTTTCTCAATCATTATATATTAATGTTACATTCACTTTATCATCTACTCTTAACAAACTTGGAAAAAATAGGATGATGCTATTCTTAGCTGGATAATCATCGAAATATTTCATTAATCTTTATCTCGCCGTATTCTTATATCCTTCGTATGAATTAGTGCTTAAAATATAAATATAAATTAATGGTTTGTATGTTTGCTAGTTTTTGAATTAAACGTTGAGTGTTCCGACCTTGTCCTTAAATTAGAAATTCTTAATAGGGAAATAGGGAGCTGTTAATTCCAAAAAATGAGGATACAAGCTATATTAATCCACTACCTATATATCAAGCATAATTATTATTATTATACAATAAATAAATTTTATTATTATTCTATATTTCCTTTTCAATTTCAATTTAACTTTAACTAGCCTCCCTTACTTTTGGTTATATATATATTTCAATGATAGGAACACAATGACTAAAATAAATAAATTTTCAAGAGTTTATAAATTTTACTGAAAATTAATTAAAGCAGAAAAATACGTGAGACTTCTTATTAAATGTCCCAGACATTTTGATATTGGTATTAAATTACTTAAATATTATTATATTAACTCATCAAATAATAATAATAAAAATGATGTATGCTCTATTCTTATTTTCTCAATTTGCTTATTGCTACGAAGAAATATAGCTTCAAAACACTAAGGGACTTCGATAACTTAATATAGAAAACACAAGGGATGAAACAATCGTATTTGAAGCGAAATCCAGTTAAAGTCAAGTAAGCATACTGTTGATTTGTGACTCTGCTCCAAACTTTTAAAATTTACAGGAAATTTACAATGATTCAAAGTATTTTAATTTATATGAAGCTTTGGATGCATTTGTGATTGGAATGCTTTTGATTTCTCTGAAGCTTCCTAAAAAGTAATGCTTATTCGAAATTCAACAAATAATATGATATCACATTCTAAAAATGTCAAATACACAAATAGCAGATCTCCTTATGTAGGAGTATTTTCCAACAAATATGATTTTGTCAATATCTACATTTATCCAAAATAATCTAACGATTGCATAGTGTAAATTTCACAAGTATTCAATAGAAATTGCAAGTACAATGGAGAATGCAACAAAGGCAGCTGTTAATGTGAGGAAGGACACTTTGGTTTTGATTGTAAATACCAAGGGTCAAATATTTTGGATGAGGAATACCTGATAAAGTCTAGGTTCTATTATGTGGATCTAAAATCTATAAAGGAATCTAATTTTTCAATTCAGTTTAAAAAGTAAGGCGAACTTAGTTATTAATGCTTCTCTATAAATCCTTACTTAAGAAAGGCCAATATTATTAACAGTGACAATATTTATATATCAGCAGAAGAAATTAATAACTGTTTGCATTAAGGAGATATATAATTTGGGGTTGCTTCATATTACATCATTTAAATTTATCAAGATGAATTACTTTACATTAAGAAATAGGACAGTGAAAACTTCAATGATAACAGAACTATACTAATTGCCATTTTGTCAACATGTCTCTCATTTCTATGTTGCCTTATCTTCTGTGTTTTTAAGTGTTACAGGACAAAGAGGGTAGTAGTAAATCCAAATGCAAATGCAAATAGAATATTAATGAATTTGTAAGAAAACAAAACTACAATTGATTAGACATAAGAAATAAATGAGCTAATTCCTTTAATTTAATACTCAGCTATTTTCAAGAAATACCCCTAAATATTAGATTTTAGTCAATGTGCCATTTGTTTGGATACTTTTTACCAAGAATAGTAAGTGAGAGTGACTTATTGTTACCATGTTTTTCATTCCAAGTGTTTTGATGCTTGGATTAAGAAAAATTCAGTATTTTACTTATCTATAATAGAGTTGTCCAATCTGTAGATCATCATAGGATAAAAGAACTATAAAGTAACAAGAAAAACTGCAAACCATCATTTCTTAAAACACAGAATTCAACCCAGAAGTTACAAATCAAAAGTAAGCGATATCAAGAACATATGGAGAAACTCCTATGTTGACGAACCATAGGTCAGTTGGATCTTCTAAGTACATCTAAAGTAATATTTGATTTATAATTCGCTTATCTCTTTCATAATTGTAAGCAGTAATTTCAAATTGATTAAATAATTCAGAATTTCATAGAATCAAAAGTCAATCATTTTACTGTTATAATGATGGAGGTGGTTTGAGTTAAGGATCTAGCATATGTCCATTCTCAATTTCCCTCTCTTAGAGCTATTAATGAGAATCAATCCATCTACCCTTCCCAACTTTGAGACCATTCTCAAATATCCCATGAAACTCCGATTTATCTGAATATTTCATCTTGCCAGGGCCATTCTTTAATCCATATTTAAATTCTCCTTCATATTCTCTTCCATCAGGCCATTTCAATCTTCCCAAACCGTGCATCTATCCATTGAACCATTAACCTTCATACACAACTTTATTATAATATTTAAGTTCTCCATATCCACTATAGAGATCCTCAACAAAATCACCAGAGTACACACTTCCATCACTATAAATAAATTAACCTCTTCCATGCTTATGACCATTGTGGAATTCCCCAGTGTATATAGATCCATCAGGATGTTTTTCTATTCCATAATCTTCATCTCCAATAAATATGATTCCATTAGCATATGTATACTGATTGCCAACCTAAATGTCACCATTTGGATAAATTATTCTTCCATCTAGTAATGCATCATTTTACCAGTCACCTTAAATGATGGTTCCACTTTGCTATAATAATATTCCCAATCCATGTTTCTTGCCATGAATCCAACATCCCTCATAAATATCTCCATTTTCTAATCGAAAGGGAGGATATCTTTTGAATTTCTTTTTAACAGTTTTTTTGTCGAACTATATTCTATATTCATCTGCAATCATATCATAAAATTCTGGACAAAGAGTAGCATTTTTTGGTCTGTCAATTTCATCCAATTTTTTAATTTTCTTTTCATCTTATTAATTCCTAAAAACCTAAAATCCTGATTAAATTTTCAATAGTCCTCTCTGTATAGCATTGAAACGATTGTCATCTATTTCTTCTTCCTAAGCTTACCTATTACCCATATTCTCTTATAATTAATAATTTTGTATAATAATAATAATTACTATATGATTCTACAATATCCACTTATTATTCAATAATGCATCTGATCAATTTAGAACTATTTAGTATACTTGAAATATGACCATTATTTTTTGATTAATATTAGAAACACTCTAATTATGATGACACTTAGATAATTAAATATCTGAATGAGAAGAACATTATTGATATTTTATAATAATATTCTTATACATCATTGCTTTAAACGTATGTCATTGTGATGTTTCAAGTTCCTTTATATTGAACTGGCTACTCTCTATAATTCATCCAAATAACTAAATTAATAATTAAATTTACTTTCTTGGTAAGGTTTACAACTCACTTGCTGGTGTCAATTCTAATAAATTTTAGATTTCAACTAACCTTTGGATAGGCACAGAGTTACTGAGTTGGGTACTATTTGAATATTTATTTAATTTACCCTCTTTCGGGATAGAATTTTGATGTTTGAGATCCAGATCTCACCAAATTATCTTAATTATTTCTGTTTTAAGGTGATAAGAAAGAGTACTTGGATCCTGATTAGTCGTAGTAAGTGCTTTTGAAATCCTAGGCACCTGTGGATAAATGAAACTTTCCAGTTTGTTCTTGAGTCCCGATCTATTGCATTCTTAGGTTTAAATGACAGTTTTACTTCTTCTTTAATCCACTAATTTTTGCAGGGGAGGATTGAGACACCTACTCAGGATTTTGGGTAGGTTTTCCAAATAAAATATCTAAAGTACGAAGAGTATTTTAATGTTTTCTGGGACTGTCTCGGGTTTATTAGCCACCCTTTGGACTCAAAGGCTTTTAGCCCAGCTTTTCGAAATGGTTATATTTATCTATGATGGAAGTTCTTACTTCGCTTCTTAGGGCTTGGTAATTTATCTATTATAGACTATTGATGAAACCTCTTTGCTTGCTAGGGAGCTAGTATAGGAAGAAGGTTTTTCAGATATATCTGTCACATGAAATATCGACATTAAAATTTATTTATATTATATTATTTTTATTTCAATGTAATTGTAATTAATACTAGTTTTCTTTAAGATTTGCTATAATTAAATTTATAATCGCATAATCATTATTTAATAATGACCTTATATAATATTGAGAGAGCTTAATACAAATATAACAGCAAGTTTTAATTAATGATTCTTCGTGTGAAATAATACTAGAACTATTTAGAAGGTTCATAGTAGAATTTACCATTATGAATATTTTATTCGTATAAACCAGGTATTGAAATGGATTTTCAATTAATTATTCATTTTTTTGATGAAAAGATTCCTCAAGTTAAATTTGGACATTAGCAAAAAGATTACCTATGAACAATCACATAGGAAGTGTTTTTTTTAAAGGGACTATGTTAGAATGGAATGGACCAGATAAAAGTTACCCAAATCGCAATTGGAGTTTGACATTGTTTAAAAGGTCATCATGAAAAATAAAAAGAATGTAAAAAAAACTTACCTGATCATGATGCATCAGAATATCATGATGAGACAGAAGAAAGATGTATATCATCATCATAATTTAGGGGTCCTTATGTTGGATCGACTTTGAAAATTCCATTTTGGATTCTATCAACGACCCATAATTTGGAGATGGCATCAGACTAACGAAATGTTTCGACGAAATAGAAATCTATGGAGAATTAGATAAAATGCTCCCTATTTTTAAGAAATACACTATCCAATTAGAATTCACTTAATAATATCATTTTTTAAAGAAGATTAATTCTTGTGATAAAACTGAGGTAAACTATTTATCATCTAATTATTAGGTTTTTAGAATAAGGTCGAAAACAGATAGAAATGATTATTAATGCAAAATATTTTATAAAAAAGCACTCAACCTTACCATGGAAAAATAAATAGAGAAGGAATTGTATATATTGAGAAGAATTAACGATGAATATATCCAAAAATACTTTGAAACCTTTGAAAATTAGGACTAAATAATAATCATAGAAGAATTAATAATAGGCGGAAATTTTGATTCTTATTTATAAAAATGGCCATTATTGTCAGAGGAAAAAGCATCCAAATTTTTTTTTAAATTATTTAAAAGTTTAGCTTATCTTCATTCCAAAGGGATAATGCATAGAGACTTAAAACCAGAAAATATTGGGCTTAGATTGAATGGAAACCTTGAAAACCCTTGCATTTGTTTTTTCGGATTGGCTGATGTCGTAAGTTTAGAGAATGATTCAGACGAAGAAGAAGAGACCCCCAAATATTTATTTTAAAGATGTGGAACACCAGGATTTGTTGCTCCAGAAATCTTGAAGAATTAGTAATATGATTGCAAGGTTGACATCTATAGTTTGGGAATTATGATGTATTATTCATTGACCGGGAAAAAGCCTTTCGATTCAGATGACTATCAACAGTTGATCGAGCAAAACGAGGAAGGATAAGTAGACATATCGATTCTAAAGTTAAGTAAAGAAGGGCTGATGCTTATTGAAAGCATTCTCAAACCTGATCCAGATGAAAGAATTACAGCTTAAGCAGCCTTAAATCATATTTGGTTTAAGACGGAGAAGCTTTCTAAATTAATGGAGTTTAAGGCGCATAACAACATCAAGAAATTTTAATTTAAAAGTCCATAACATCGAAAAAGCATGCAAAATTCCCCTAAATTGTTACCTATTGTACTTAATAAGCAAAGCGTTGATTAAAGTTATGGCAGTCCTTTATAGCATTAATTTTCGAATGCTTATAGAAATTCTATTAATTCTCATAATCATTCAATCTTTCGTATTACTACATTGAATGGAAGTTTTAGTCCAAAAGACGTTCAATCTTTTTCTTAATCGTTAAATCCTAATAGTTTATTGGTAAGGCCAAGTGGAATTTCACCTTCATTTTTCGCCAAGACATCGAGACCGTCATAATCAATATCTGTTTTAATGCCGAATATATTCCCTAAGCAATTGGAATAAAAGTGAAATAATGAACAATATTATTGAATATATTTATAAGTTATTTTATTTATGAATTTTATTATAGAAACATAAACAAAATACAAAGGGAAAGATTAATTATTTAATCATTCTATTTTATTGGTTGATGAGTCACATTAAGATTTTCTAGTTTGAAAATACTTAGATTTAGGTCGAAAATTATTTACTAAATTATTATTGAATATTACTTTCTGGTAGTAAAGTATTTTACTTAAACCTACTGGAGAATTACCTATCACGATCAATTGAGGAAGGTGATTATGATAAGCTTACACCATATCCAGAATCATTAGAGAATTTACTGACACTTAGTTGTTTATTTTAACTTCTGGGAGTTCTAATTATGGATGATTTTCTATTGTCTTTAATTTTGAAAGATAACATCTTTGGAATTTTATTGTAAAAAAATTGATGTTTCAAAGCTTCTTTGCAATTTAATCTTTTAGTGTAGTCTGTTTCTAGGCATTTGGTCATTAAATCCATAAGAACCTAAGAACATTAGACTTCTGTAAAGTCTATTTTGCCATGATAGTTTTTCTGTATCATTCTGTTTTTATCTTGATCTTCAAAAGGGTGTTTTAAAGTAACCAAAACATAAATGACAATGCCTAAACTGTAAACATCAATATTTAGGACATATCTCTTATCTTATAATACTTCTGGAGCCACATACCCTATGCTTCCACATCTTGTGAATAGATATCTTCCATTCTTATTCCAAAAATCTGCTAAGCTAAAGTCTATTAAGCAAGGTTCTGTGAAGTCTGGTGATGTTCTATACATAATATTTTGTGGTTTGATATCTCTGTGGAAGATGTTATTGTCATGCAAATATGAAACACATTCAAATAGAGGTCTCATTATTTACTTAATCTGATTTTCGTCATATCGTTATTGTCTCTCTAATATAGTTTGCAAGCTTTCTCCCTTCAATTCTTCTTAAAGCAAAAATATTAATTCGTCATCCTCAAAAATTTCAACTAAATTTGAAATGTGGTGATGATTTATGGTTCTGAGAATTTAAACTTCCTTCCTAAGACTCTGTTTCTATTCTTCAGAAATCAAATTCTATTTTTCGTATACTTTGGCTACATAAACAACGTGAGGATCTAATGAGGATTCTAATTTTAGAAACTATTTGTATATCAAACATTTCATACAGTGGCATTGCTTCCATAATATAGGGTTTGTATTATTTTGTATCTATCAGAGATTTCTCTTTAAATACAGTATTTCCTTATGTACTCGTAGAGCTTCTGAGGTTTCTCATAGATTTCCAAGGATGTTCCAGATTTGATAAGTTTTAATCCTTCGATCTCATTATTCTTATCAAAGATTACTAACAATGTAGCATTTAATAGATTGACATATTTCTATATAAAAGATATTAGATTACTTTGCTTGAATAGATAAGGATATGTTGCGACAATTGCAACAATTTATTTTTCAGTTTGCCATCTTTTTAAATCAAAAATTGACCACTGAAATCTATATGCTCAAGTCCCTCTATAGGTTTTATATAAAATTTGGATTGATCATCCAAAATAGATGAATAATTTTATCTTAACCTTAGATGCTTAGTAATTTTAATCATTTTGTTGTTGTATTAATCTTATAATAATAATAATATTTGATCTCAGGTCTAAAAATTGATTTTTCAACCTTTTGGGTAATTCCTGATTTAGATCAGAATCAAAGGTATAAATATTTGGGATCAAAATCGATATTTAAGTTTAATAAATGCCTATCGTTTGAATATATATGAATAATTATTAAGAAAAAATTGGTTTATTTAGCATCAATACTGTTAGTCCAAAAGAATGGTAATTAAATGCTGATCTGGACGTAGAACTACAAGCAAAACCAATTGAAACAGATAATCTTGATCTCCTTTTAAGTCCGCTTACCAAAGTTTCAAATCAAGCCAAACTTTTCTTAGATTATGAGAAAAGACCTCATGCTAGCTAACTCTCAATTTTAGGAAATAACATGATGGCTTACTTTAATCTTAAGAAATTTTTGTAAAAATTAAGCAGAAATCGAGAGAATTTTAAAAGGTTAACCTCAAAGCATTTGGATGTTATTAATGATTAAGCCTCAGATTAGACTGTCCTTCTAAATAGTAACAAAAATAAACCGAAGTTAAAAATCTTTGATTTTCCCGTGTTACTTTCTTAATTATCAAAAAAGAACTCCATATTAACTACTTGGAAAAGAAGCATCCTTGAAGATCTAAATAAAATTCCTCTTATCCACCCTGAATCTAAGAAAAAGCTAATTTGGGATTATTTCATGACTGCCATTAGAATAGTTTTAATGATCTTGCTGCCTTTAGAAATCGCCTTCCAACCAGGCATAATTTTTGAAAAAGCCCAAATTTTTACTTCTGTAACTATATTACTAACAATATTGGATATGATAGTACGCTTGAATACTGTTTATTATGAGGATGGCAAGGCTATCAATGATAGATGGAAGATATTTGAATTAAAAATTCAAGATTGTATTATATTCGATGTAATTGCAATATTTTCCTTGACTGTTAATTTTGGAGTAGTTTTGAGAAGTATTCTACCATCCTATAGTTTGCAATTTAAATATGTCTATGAAGTAATTAATAAAAGTTAGGAGTCTTCTTACTTGAGTAAGCCAATACAGGGATTAATGAAACTAATTTGGTTCATTTTAACATTGTTAACAATTCTACACATTTTTAGTTGCATTTGGTTTTTGATAAGTAAAAATACAAACGGTGATAATTGGGTGAAGAATAAGGAAATAGACCAAAGTGAATGGGCAACATAATATATTGAAGCCCTATATTTCTCAACAGTAACCATGCTTACAATTGGTTATGGAGATAGTGTTCCTCAGAATCAAATTGAAAAGCTCGTCTCAATATTATTCATTTTAATCGCTTGTTTATGGTACTCTTATGCTGTCAATACGATAGGCCAGATCATTAATGAATTGACTTACAATTCAGAAAAAAGAAGACAGAGAATTCGAGTTATTAATGGTTACATGAATAAAAGAAAAGTGCCTTACTCCTTGTAATTCAAAATCAGGGAATATCTTAATTACAGATGGAAAGAGGAATAGGAAAGTGATATCACCTAAGAAGACAAACTAATAAATGAACTATCAAATGAGCTTAAATAGGAATTAGAATTATTGGGTCGTAAGAATTTCATTGAAAAAAGTTAACTTTTACAACATTTTTCGAATGAATTCAAGAGATCTGTAAGTTCACACATTAAAAGAGTAATTATATAACCTCATAATACTTTTTCTATGAAGGAAGATCCTTGTTTATGCTATTTGGAATCAGGCTAGTTATAATTCTTAATGTCAGAAATCAAAGAAGGATAGTTCATCTAAGAATATGAATATGCTACTGATACTCAAACCTCAATTCCTTATAAGGCCATCGGTTATGTGTCATTATTAATCATTTAGAAGGACAATTTTAATAAAATATTAAAAGCTCATCAAGTAGATCATGAAAAGTTTTCTCAATTAAAGATGTAATTGTGCAGTGAATAATATGGATATTTATATGACTGTAAATGGTGCAGTACTCATGGTCATTCTACAAACTATTGTCCTCTAGTTTCCTATAAATATGATAGAGAAGGTATTATTAAGAAGCATTGTTTTCCCAAGTAAAATGAAAGAGTTCCTATTATTCGGAATCGAGTTAGAAATTACTTCAAGTCTCTTTCTGAGATGGAATTGATTTAAGAGTATGTCGCATATTTTTAAAGTGAAAAACAACAAATAATATAAGATCAACTCAAAAAACAACTTTCTGATAGTTAAATCAATATGCAAATTCAAAGGAAATAATCTTTTTTCGATGATGAATTGTAAGAATTTGGAGTTAAACGAAAATCGATTCATGAAAATAATGGTAGATCACCAATTCAAAAATTAGGAATCTCGAGTGTTGGGCAATCTAATTTCCAATTTTTAGGAGTGATTAAGCCCAAACAATCTGAATTGGAAAAATCTTTTATTTTAAAGACTATCCAACCTAATATGATTGAGGAAGAGTAGATCTAGAATATTAATGCTCTGTATTTGAAATCCAAAAAAGATGGCTATACGAACTAAGACTTAGAAATTCTCTATCTAAAGTATAACAGTCATCCAGCTTAAGATTTTGATCATGTAAAAAGTTTTGAACACTATTTCCCAGAATTTAACGTTGAATAAGTCCTGAAAAAGAAAAGAGAAGTGTATAAAAGTTATTTTAAGGAGCTAATAAGATACATGCTTTATCCTTTCTTATATGTTCTGAAATTTAATAAGATAGCACACAAACGAAAATTAACTGGAAACTTTTAGTAAGTTGGCAATATCATGAAATTCAAGAAGGCCCTCTTAAATAAAAAAAGAAGATAAACCTCAGTATTTCCTAATGGATAACCTTTGATTCATATTTGAACAACAATTTGCATATAATTATTTAATATCTAAGTATTTTCACTTAAATATATATTAATTTGTGGCTTAGCCTATTGTCTCTTAAAATTGCTATTGAATCGAATAACAAGAATATTCGGAAAACGTGGGTTCATATAGACTATTTATATCAAGCAAATGATGCAATGCCTTTCTTTAGGAATTCATGTGACAATTTTCAATAAGAATTAATATTTAAATGTTATATTCCAGTAAGTTGTTCGGAATAAGTTAGCAATTTTTTTAATTGATTTCAAGAATGTGATTAGTTTAGATTAGTGGAGTGAATTCTAAAATGCAGAATGAAGAAGTTATGGTAATAGTATAATATAAAGTTTATAAAATTAAGATCTTGCAGAGTTTATTAGTTTGTGATAGTTTATTATTAAAAAATTAATTAAATATTCGTAATTATGTTAAGCTGCTCAGCACCTATTCTACCTGAAACTTGGACTAACTCTAATTAATTAATGCTAAGTTTAATTGCACCTCCAGAAAACTTAAGTCCAGAATATTTCAGTTCACTATTAAACCAGTAAGAATTTATTGAATATTAGGTATGGACCCGTGCAATAAGTGAAGATTTTAAATAAATCGTTAATGGACTTTAAGGTGTTTGTAGAAATGGGTAATTCAGAGGCAGCAAAATTAGCTAAATAATTTCTTGATTAACTTTCTTCAAACTTTATTAAATGTTCATATTATCATGAGGAGAAGCAATTTGAATCAGGATCTTAGAATAATTGCTCTTTTGAGATTATTGGTGATTCAACTGTTAGCTCGTAGAAATGCTAACATCAAACTTCGTTAAATGAAAGTACATTTTACTTGATCTATTAAGTTTTATATGAAGATGACTATAGGCCTTCAAGCGTCAAGACCTTACCCTTAAATCATAAGACAGTCAAATCTTCATAACTAATTTAGCCAACCTAGACTTTGTGTGTAAGTGGAATTAAGGGGAAAGAAATAGATGCCAAAAAATTGTATAATATTTTTAGTAACTTCGGAAATATTGATAAAATCTTACTTATTAAGTAAATATAATTTATTATTGTAAAACTAGAATTAAAAATTTCGCATTTGTTAAGTATCTCAAAAATGATAATGCAATATTCGTTTTCTAGAATTGTTAATAATTAGAATTCTTTGATAGCACCATTTCAATTTCTTATGCTTCAGACGACTCAATAGATAAGCTGATTGGTCTTGACACTCTCTATCAAGAATAGGACTATTATATTGGTTCTGAGGATACAGACAGGTAAGAATTAAATTGAAAGATAGATTCAATTGTAACAATAAAATGATTCTTTTGCCACCGAGTTAGGTATTGCACATCTCAAATCTTAAAAAGGTTTCTTCCAATGCTGAAACTATGTGGGATGTATTTTCTGAATTTGGTGTTGTTCAAGTAAGATTCCATCTAATTTGTTAGGCTGTAAAGGTATTAAATACACAATTCAAGTTTATGTGTTTAATAAAAATGGAAACTCTTAGGTAAGCCTTAGAAGTTATGGCTCTAATGCATAATGAAGAGATTGACAATAGAAATGTGCAAATCTCATTCACAAAAGCCAAAATTTGATCATATTGAAGAAATAATTATATATATAATATATAATAAATTATAAACATTATAATTCTATAAAATTTTATAAATAAGATTGAGATTTATCATTATAATATAAAATAATTATAAAGTATTATGTAATATGAATTTGTTTTGTTAATTATTATAATGCAAGATGATTTGTAAGGTAATTAATCAATACGTGCTGACGTATGATTTTGCTATATAAATGTGGGAATCTAAATCTTTTACTTTAAATAATTCTAAGTTTTAATGAATAACTTCCAACTCTTCGACAGCAGCCTCATTCTTTAACAACAACTTCTCCTCTAACAAATGTTTATTTACAATCAAATGCTTGTTTAAAAGTAATATTTTACCTCCTAACCTTCACTATAGAACCAAAATGCTATCCAAACCTTAACAGTAGCCAATAATATCAAAAGCAACTGAAGAAAATGAGTCCTCCTCTCCATCCATTTCAAAATTGGAGGAAACACATCCAGTTAAGCCATTAACATTGAAATAATCCAAAAAAAATGAAAAATTGACTCAAGAAAAGAAGCCTAAGAGATAAGAGGACAAGAATATTGAGAATAAGGAAACTTCTTAAAAGAAAAAAATATTTTTATCGATGCTTGATATTAAAGAAGCCCAATATAAGAAGTACATTTAATTATTTATCAATTAGATTCAAAGTTATTGAGATGGATCAAGAAAAAAAGGCCATTATTTCTACTCAAATCGAACAATGATTATACTTTTTAAATTTTTGTGTATGTTAACAAATATATATTGTCACAAATTAATTATAAATTCTTGAAATCCTCATCAATTAAAACATTCTATTTTATAGAATTTCAATAGAAAAACGATTACAACTTCAACCATTTTCTAACTATAAATTATAATATATATTCAATTTTAATAGGATACTTCCTTAGCTTAAATTAATTATAAAATAGATATTCATAGAAGGGAATTTAAATATATCTACACAGATCAAAAACATATCAATCCAAGTTTTCAGATGATATTCAAATGAACACCAGTAGCAAATTATATAAATTTATGATTTTCCTAAGGATTTAGACTTCCTAAATAGATAAAAAACTCAAATTTATTATATAATTGAATAGAATATTATCATAAATATATCTATTTATATTTTATTACCATTTTTGATTGATTTTAACAGATGAATTCAAATTTAAATGACTGACAATTTAGATCTATGAATTTCAAATTGATAAATATAATAAATATTTTTATAAATGTTTATTATTACTTAAATTTTTGATGAGCCTGAAAATGATAAAGAAAACAGATAAGCCAGATCGATTGTATCCTTCCTTTTAAGATTCTCTTACTATGCTTTTCAATTAAGTGTCATTTATGAATCTGCTTATATTGTATACTTTGAGATGAGATCAACCTTATTTTCAATTTACTTCCTTTTCTTGTACTTTTTTCTGTTAAAGTCGTTTTACTTATCCATCAGACGGAAAAGCTATACTTATGTAAATATGATTGAAGAGCAAAATTTATGTAAAAGATGCAAAATACATAGAGGTTTTATTTAATTTAGTATGATTAGAAATAACAACTCATCATTGTAAAATCTGCTAGACTTGCATATTAGAAATGGATCATCACTGTTTCTTCATTGGTAATTGTGTAGGGAAAAATAACTATAAATATTTTATAAGTTTTATTTGTTATACAAATATCCTGACATTAAGTGTATTATTATATTTAGGCAAACAATTTTATTTTTTCGTTACTTTGAGATTTGGATTATTAACAGTAAATTGGTTTAGATTGATATTTGTTTACATTTTCACAACATTACTTTTTTTATCGGCTCTTTCAATGTTGTTTGCTTAAGCATATGTCTTAGCAAACAATAGTTCGATGGTTCATATGCGAAAATATCCTGAATTGAAGAAATATACTTATTGTTAATTTATACTTAGTGTGTTTAAGAAATCTTTATATACAGACATTTATAACTCTTGGAAATAAAGAAGTGATTAATATTATTTGTTAATACCATGAAATAATTCTAATATATAATGCATCATTAATTTTCAACTTCTTCTTCGTTTTTATTGTTTTATAAACATCTCTCTTAATATTCCTTAACCTTTTGGATTTTGATATCATATTTCTCTTTTCTTTTCCCTTTTAAATTTTATATTGCTCCTTCGACTGTGACTCCTGATTTTTAAATTACAAGAGATTTCTTATCTTCCGCTTTAACTTTTGCTTCTGGGACTGCAACTGGGACTTTGAGCAAAGAAGCACCCATTGAGTAAAAATGCAAATATTCAATATATCTTTTTGAAAGGGTTTCTCTTAAATTTTCATAAACCCCTTGAGTAAATTCTGTATGACTTTCTGGATTTGGGTTCCATAATTGTTATTTGAATTCGCAATTATGTAACACTAATGGATAATCAGGAGCCATTTGATAATTTGGTTTGCCATCAAATTTAGTAAATAAATCAGTTATTACAGATGACTTTTCGATGCCTTTTCCAATTAAAAAAAGGACAGCCATCATGTATCTTATTTAATGCCATAGGAAAGCATTGCCTTCTATGGTTACACAATACAAACGCAATCTGTCATCGTCTTTAAATAATGTACTACATCTAGGAGCATTCTCTGGGAATACCTCTTCGATTGTAATATTCATGATTGTTCTTACAAAATTTTAGTTTGCAATAACATCTAATTTACAAAAGTTTCTAAAGTCATGTTCCCCTATAAATAGTAACATGGCCTCTGTCATCAATTCAATGTTGTAATCCATTTTATAGAAGTAGTACTTGTAAACTCTTTTAATGCAATCATAACGTGCATTGAATTTTTCATCTACAATACATTCATCCAATATTTAAATATCTTCTGGCAAAACTCTGTTCAGAATTTATGCATAAAGTTTATCAGATTTTCCTATTTTCCTTACATTTAAGGCAACCACATTTCCTATAGCACTGACACCCTTATCTGTCCTACCAGCTCTAGTGTAATTGCAATCATCTCGATTGTCAATCATCCTAACTCTTTATAATGCTTTAAATAGATGATTTTCTATGGTATTTTGTTAATTAATTTATTATTCCAAGCCATGATAGTTTATTCCTACATATGCTAATTTGAAAGCCACTCTTGTAAATTTCTGATCAAGACTTTTTATTTTTTTATCCTTCAACTTTCTTTTACTAAGTTATTTCTCCTTATATTCAGCTTCTAATTTCTCTAAAAATTTCTATTCGCCGACTTCTATCAATCTTTTCTTCAATCTATGCAAAAACATTGGATAAGAAAGAATTTATTTATTTTTTTAAATTAATTCAAATAAATATAATATAATATAAATGACAAAATTTTTCGAATATTAATCAAATCCGAACATTGCTTAATTCATAGTCAGGCTCGCTAAAATAAATCAAACTTTAATCCTAACTATGAATATTGTCTTATCTCAAATGCATAATTTAATCTTTAATTTTCTTACACTTTTCTTACCATTTTCCTAAAATATATATCTTACATTTTTACTTTCGTATTCTTATAGTTTATGATCTTTGTTAATTTCTTCAGGGCTAATATATTCAATTTCCTAGCATAATATAATTTCACATTTCACAACTTAGAAATATTATTACGAATTTTCTGCCATATAATCTAAATTCGAACTACCTTAAAATATGGCACTTTCTTAAACTGATTACTAAAATTCTTAAGTGACATTGATTGTTAATTTAGTTAATTTAATTTATACTGTTTTGAGAAATTTAATTTTGATGGCCTCATGTTAATTCAACTTAATTTCTTCTTTAATCATTTTCTTATTTTTCTTACTTTGATCTCCATGAATTTGAAATTAGGATTACTTCAATTTTTGATTGCCCAGTGCAGCTAAATGTTTTAATGCCTTTCTTCTCATTCTTTCAGAATAGATAGTCATGAAAAAGTCTTTCGATAATTCATCCTCATCAAGTAAAATTGGCCAATTTTTAAATTACTTATAAAGAGTTTTTTACCCAGCTTACGAACAAAATTGTAATAAGTGTTTAGAATCATTAGCAGTTTTTGTAGTCTCTAAAAGCTCTCGAGTTCTCAAATCTGAAAGCACTAAAGTAATTTATCAATATATACCAAAACTACCATCATTATTTAAAAAAGACAGTCCAATTCCTTAACCATTTTTTTCAAACAATTCATCAATAAACGCACCCAAATTTTAATTTTACTCCAAAATTTTTGTTTGTATCTTAAAGTTAATCTTAAGCAAGTAGTTCTTCTTCTCCTGAACCTTTTCAGATTTAATGAGGATTTGAATTATTGATCCAATGCTGAGTAGTTCTCTTTTATCTTAGATGGTTTCCAAATTATCTTCGAATTCTTTTATGTTGGATGTTTATTAAAATGCTTATTAATCATTAATAAATTTCATCATATTCGAGACTGTATCAATAAAACTAGTTTCAGCTTTACTTTTTAATTGCTGCATTTGTAACTTCGATATGATAGATTTATTATATTAAATTGTTAAAATAATAATTTTCGCATGATTACCTGACAATTTATAATGATTTGCTGTGCTGCTGTTTTGGTGTAAAAAAATCATCTGTTATTTTTGCGTATTTTAATTAATTATACAAAATCCTTATTTCCTAACTGCCAAAATTAAATTTTTTTCTTCTCTATTTTTCTAAATCACATATTATGTACATTATATTTCCACCTCTAAATGGTTAGGATTAATAAACCTCTATTATAAATTATCTTACTATTGGATTTAAGAGGTTTCAATTCGATCTCATTCATAAAATTTCATAGATTTCAATTCAAAAAGAACCTCTACAGCTTCCATTGTAATTTTTTTATGAACATAAACCGAAAGCCTGAAATAGAATGAGCAGATCAATTTATATAAAATAAGCTTACACAAAAAAATTGTAGCAAAATTACGAAAGCATAAGATGTTGTATGAAGAAATTACTGATTATAGGGTTAATTTGGTAAATATAAAGGAATGACATTATATAGGATTATATGTTTTAACAAATCTAATATATATATTTAGAGTAAATTAATAAATTTTATTTATAAGATTAATAATTTATTAGAATTAAATTGTTTATTATAGAAATTATAAGTATGAATTAATTTTCAAATTAATCTGTGTTCTAATGTAAAACTACATACTAAAATGAAATCTATGAATAATTTAATGCATCCAATGTAAGGGATTTCACTTGTATTCTATAATGAAATCACAACCACGTCAATAATAATTGACAAACAATTTGTGACTATGTGATTATACTTATCTATTTGTCTGATGAGTGAATAGTTTGTGTATTGTTGAGGGTTCTATTTGCTTAAATATTTTAGTTTAAGTAATGGAAGTCTGGCCCAAGTACCTGATGTGATGAAGGATAACAATGGGTTGTTCATACTATTATAGGTCTAAGAGTAATATATGTTATTGATGCTGAAAAGAATTGAAGCTAAGATGAACTCGATTTAAACCTTGTTGATGTAAGCATACAACAACAGCATGCAATTGCCTATAGTCTATAAAAATGAAAATGCCAAAATAGATGACAGAATTACTTGTGGAAATATTGGGAGTTTCGGAGGTAAAATCAATGAAACAACTTAATAGCAAATTGCAACTCCAAGAATAGCTAATAATACAGATGATGCCACTCCAAAATAAGGTTGATTTTTTATTTGATTACAAGTTAGATTGCCATCAATTTAATATCCAGGAGAGCATTCATTACAAGTTGTATTATTATCGCAGCTCAAACAATTACTAGTGCATTACTTTAGGATGCATCTAGAACCTTCTAAATAATAGTTTTCTTTGCATGAAAGACAACCATTGATATCACATGTTTTGCATTCAGAATCACATTATAAACATGTTTTGTTTTTTTCATAATATTCTGAAGGACATTCCTTAAGACATTTACTCTTAAAATAAATGCCAAAATCTTCAGTGCATTTATCACAAATATCAATTGAATTGCAGGTTTAGCACCCTTCAATCTTACATTAACATATTTTATCTGTTAGATTATACTGGTTTTAGCATTCCAAGCATTCTTAGGAATTGCATGAACTGCACCCTAATGAACAAACTACACAATCTTTGTTTTCATTATCATAATAGCCAGACGGACAGGTATCTAAACAATTAGTTTTATATTTAAATTTGTCTGGATTGCATTAGACACAATTAAGTTATTAATTCTTAATCTAACAAACAGAGCAATTTTCAATTGAACAATCATTTGACATTCTGCATTAATTTTGATACAATTCAAATGGTGTTACACATGAAATACAGTTTTAAGTAGATTCACTAAAGCTGCACTATTAACAATTGTCAATATAACATATCTATTCACATACATTATTCTTCAATTAATAACCCATTTTACATTATGAGCATTCAGATTTATTGCACTACAGACAATTTTCTTAAGCGCATTGATAACAAGTATTATCTTCCTTATAAGTTTAACTAGGGCATTTTAAATAACAACTATCTTAAAATATTAAATATGGAGTTGGACAATTTTCAGTTGCCACAGTCAAGATGATCTTCTCATTGCTTTGATGAGTAATTTGATTATTATATATGAGAGAAACTTGAACTATGGCATTGTTTTTTAAAGAACATGTTGAATTATGAACGGAATCTATCTTTCCTTAAGAAACACAATTGTTATTTTGAAACCTAAACTTTATGGTTGAATCACTTTAGTATGGGACAACAGAAGATAATGAATAACTTAATTGAACATAATCTAATGCTGTAGCAGTCAAGGTAATTTAGTTCATGTTGAGTGTTGTTGGATATATTTATATGTTATTTGATTGTTCTAAATACTAATCAGCTCTGCTTAATTTGAAAATAGCTTAATCATTTTTTGAATAACTATAATCTTTGAATTGAACTTAGGATATTTAAACTTTGTAATTTTTATTTTGTTGACAACCCTATTCGCATATTTGTAGATTTAACTAATTGTTTTGATAAGTACTGCGAATTTGAGTATCATCAAATGTGACCTTACTATTACTGAAATCAATCTAATCATTTGTATTTGCAAAGCTTAAATAATTTTAGTATTTGTTATTTAAAGGAGAAGAGAATAGCACATCAAAATCCAATTGAGCATTCTTACTGTAAAATGTATTCTAACTCCAGTTAATATTTTTCACATCCAACAAATAGTTATATTCCATTTAAAAACTAGAGCATGTTGAGATTTATTCAAATTCCGTTTAAATGCTTACGCATATCTTCTCTAATTAATTATATTAATCAGCATTAACAAGATTTTTCAATGTTAATAAAATTTATGTTTGATCACATAATGTACATTGATCCTTCAATAATTTTTAGCAATTGACGACAGTATTATTTAGATAACAAACTGATGATCCTGTCATAGCAGTTTCAGTCATTTGTAATTATAAAAGTGTCAAATATTTCAATTCAGAAGGAAGTTGTATATTGATATTAACATCAGTTGGAGAGGATATTAATGAAGTGCTCTTGCTAAATGATAAAATTAGTAACTATTAATCTGAACATTAAGAACCCTAGCAAATCAATTCAGGAGTGATATGATTACTACTTTAATAACTTACAGTTTAGCCATCTGATGATAGTTCTATGATATAATTTACTTTTGATTATGGGATTGCATTAGCATTCTATAAACTTAATAAATTAAAATTAATCTAATTATTTGTGTTATCAAACTAAAATGATAATATTAAAAACTTGGAATCAGTTGTTACTTATGACTTCAGAATTAATTTCTCATTATAATTGAAGGATGGATCATTAACAATTTCAGTAAGAGGTATCTTGATTGTTACAAATTTTGATGTTTCATGATTAAATTAAATATTTAAATCAGTGTTTTAACTCAGGATTCTTACTGATCTCTATATAGTTGAATCAAAACTTTGAATAGGGAAGTTTAACAATTAATTGCAATTAACTTAAGAAATTGAATCAAGTAATTAGCTGCCCACATAAGAGTATATTGAAATTAAACATTAATTAGTAGTTTTAAGCCATTTTATTGAATTAATACTAGATAATTTAATTGTATTAGTAGCTTTCAGCTCTACATTCTAACAAGTAATTTGATACTTTGATTGATCAATTGTGCAAGATATCTAATTATTATTCAAAGTAATGATAATATTATTATTTTGTATGAATGGTAAATTGTCTGGGTTAAATTCAATAATAAGAATAGAATTAACATAGGGAGTATCATTAGTAATACTAATAGTTATGATGTTTTATTAATTCAACTGTTAAGCACTTTATGAGATTGATGTAATAGAAATTTTACCTGATTCTATTGGAGGAAATTAAATTGATTTATTTTCTTCGTAAATGTTATTTAATTCATCTAAAAGTTGCAATTGAGCAACACTATTAGAAGATGCTAGGGGATTTCTAAAACCAGTAATGCTGAAGCTGAGTTGTTAGCCACTCGAACAAGGACATAAATCCTCTTTGAATTTAATACTAAGAACACCATTTTCAGATGAGTCGAGCAAGGCTGCCAATAGTTTATCACCTTGTTTGATTGAAATTTAATCTGGAATGTATTAATCTGTTGGCAATTTCATCTAATACATTAAGTTTTACACTTAATTCACTAAAGTTATTGATACTGTAAATTGGGAATTTTGATTAACTAACTTAACTGTTCTATCAATTTAGACTTGTAACTAATTAGGTTAGTTTACTTAATAATTTTGAGTGCTCTGTATTGAAACGATGCTATTATAATAGTACTATAATTAAAAATTGCTCGTGAGTGCAGTTGAATAAGGATTTCTAATTTAATTTAATGTGATTATCAAATCTTAATCTTATTAATAGGGATTGATATTAGAATATATTTAAATTTTGTTGGCATTAATGACACATTCTAGAGTATTTGTATTAATAGTGACTAAGCAACTATTCATATTATCCACTCCTAAATCTTGTGGTAATATCAGTTCAAGATACGAGTTTCTAGATTTAATATCTATAGGATATTTTAGAGTATGTTTGATTGTGTATTATGTCAATTTGCCGGTTATCTGTGAATCAGCTTTGATTGATAATTGAGTCAATTGAACAACTTTATTAATGATTTTGGTATTTCCTAATTCATTATAACCTGTAGATACCAATTAATTGCTTAAGGTATAGACTTGAACAGTCAATTGATGAGTAGATTATCCAGAATATAATTCAGATCTAAATCCAGCTATTATTATGTTGATCATATTATTTCCATTTAAAATTATGTTAGGAACTTTGACTTTAGAGATGTAATTGATTTTGGGATCAGTTTAAACAACATAGGAGAGAATTTCGCAATTTTTAGAATAAGAATTAGAATTGACTATTTATGAGCATGTTATGGTTTCATCAGGATTCAGATAATAATACCCATTTAAATCGATAATGGCATTTCCATCATTGGTAATAACATATTATGATGTAATTTAGAATTAGAGATTTATTTGTGTAATCGAACCAATATCCAAAATAGACGATTCAGTTAATTTATCATTGTTTCTATAGTAAACAATGGATAAAATAGTATTAGGAGTGAGGGATGGTTTAATTTCCACATTTTATAATGAGTCAATTAAGTAATTAGTATCATCTAATGTATCAACTTGAAAATCTGATGTTGTTGTAATTACGAAATTGGGATTGTTTAATTATTATAGTACTATGGTAGTTGCAGTGTAAGCTGCCAATTATGAAGTTAATTGAATTGATATTGTTTTTTCAGTTAAAAATTAACAATTAATTTAAACATTTGATTAGTCATAACAATTTAGTTATTGGATAGTTTATTTGATAGCTTGAGTTCCTATGTTAATATTTAGATAACCATTCTTGGGAACAGGATTTGTATTGTTAATGAAAACACTATACTGAGACTACAGAGCCACTGTGGTGGTAGTTCTTGTAACACTGGCAATTAATTTATCATTAGTTGCTGTGAATTTAGCCTCAGAACTAGAGACACACATCAGATATCCATCTGAATCATAGGTTCTAAATTCAAAAGATGAAGTTGGTTTTGTCGAGGATGGGTTCTTAATATTACTCACAGTAAGAATCATAGAATTAGCAGAATTGGGATATTACAAATTGTAGGTTCTCACATTTTATCCTGTATATCCGCAAGAATAACTTGTACCACTCACAGTAGTTAGACCTATAATTCTTTAACAGTTCATATTTGATTGAATGATGAGTTCAGATGGAAACTTGATCTCTAAATAACCTCCATTAGTAAATTTAAGAACTGGCTATAAAGTAAATTAAAATGTTGCGATTTAGTTCACTGTTTAAGTATTCTGAGTATTAAGAAAATTGATTTAAATATTTTCAGGTGTTTTGGTCTGTATTTAAAATCCTAATGAATCAATCAAATATGCATATTGAGTAGCAGTCTATATAATTATCTGATTGCTATTTCTAACAGACTCTTAATTTTAGACATTTAATAAACTAAGAAAATAGGAGTTATGATTACTATATAATGAATTATGTTGTGGCATCAATTAGTGTTGAGAATATATTTGTAACAGTGACTGATTATCCCGAGATTGATACAGTACCAGTATGATTATTGGAATTAACTTCAACATTGACTGAGAGTTTGCTAAATTAGATTTGAGTTGGGAAAGTAATTATTAGTTGTCCATTTTATTCGATACTATGCTAACTTTAAACTGTTAATTTGATGTCGTTCAAATCATATACTTTAAAAGATGATTATGTAAGTTGAGTCAGAGAGAGATCTCCTGCTTAATAGACGTCAACTGTGTATTATTGTGTTTACTAATTGTTCACGAAATCTATCGTCAATTAGACTTGTTAAGGTTTCACAAAACTTGGATTTGTTAATTGTCCAAATTTCAACAGATATAAAGAAGCTGAAGCCACACTTTGTGATATTTTAATTGTGCATTTTTTGGAGGTGCATGAGCATTCTTTTTTATTACTTATAAATCATACATGTGTAATCTGTGCTAACTGAAGTAAAGTAAATGGATCCTGTGCATTTAGTTAGTGTTCCATCAACCACAATAATATTTGTATTTGTGAAATCAATCGTAATTATTGAATTGACTGGCATTTGCTATTGTAATTAAAATTTCAATTCGTAAGTGGTTGATGCTTGTATTGTATTAATTGTGGGGAATAACTCAAGTGATCCTATCTAAGCAAATATGTGTTCTATCAATAAATAAAAAACTAGCAACATAATTTCAAATTTAAAAAATTATTAATCAATATATGGTCATACTAAAATCCCCGCTAATTGAACAGTAGAATCATTTTAAGAATCATCAACTCCAATCACCAAATATTCGTTTACTTCGATAAACTAATTTAATTAAGTTAAAATGCAATCATTCATTTTAAGGTGATTTATCTATAAATTATTTTTATAATGAAATAATTAGATCAAAGGATCACAGCCTTAGAATAATTAATTGGCGATGGAGATCTTGTAATCACAGATACCATTTATAATCAAATCTAACAGATGAGAGAGATTGCTCGTCAACAAAATCTGAGCTCCAAATGTATTATCCTCATCCATATTATCAATAGTGTATAAAATGGCTTCATTAATTTACAACTATGATCTAAACTATTGCTATTCAGCTTTGCCACCTCAAAGTAAGATATAATTGATCATGCAATCTGAGAAATACTTGCAAGAGGCTTCATAAAATTTGATTAAAATTATTAAATACAGAAAATTTGTGGACTTTGAGCCGATTATTGGGTTATAGGAGAAAATCAATCAAATCTTACTGCTTTAGACAGCATCCAAATTGGCATTAAAAGATGACTAAATTGTTGTTAATCAAATTAATAGTGCCATGTTAATGGATGATTTTAATCGATACCAATAATAATTAGAGACTTTGGTCTTAATTAATTATGAGTTGAATTAATAAATTGAATGAAAAAAAGTCTAATATTCTAATGCAAAATATATTAATAATTATTACCATATGTTTTAAATTTTCAATAATCGTTTTTAACATACATTAATATGAATAATACAATTCTCTTAATAGTTTTAATTGCTTTTTCATTTGCTCAAGAAGATACGCCAGGATTGACAGCACCTATGTAGCTTGAAGTGGAGACGAATGATAACCACGATATCCCTGAGGAAAACTCTGGAATCTTTTAAGTAAATGAGTTCAAATCAGGAATGGGACCCATGGATCAATTCTTCCTTAAGGATCTTTTCGAAACCATAAATGCAGCCTTTGATGATTTAACAGACAATCCCAACGATTCAACTTTTTTACAAGACAATTAATAAACAAAAAAAATGTAGGAATTAGATGAAAGTGGTGCTATCCAATTTTAAAGTCCCCTAATTGGGTTCTTTAATCCTTTATTTTCTATATTCACAACTGAGGGAGACTCTGATTTTGTTGAAATAGAAACCATTTCAGTCAATGGACAGACATAAACTAAGGTCACAAAGACAAGTACTAGAAACGGTATTACTACCACAACAACTGAAATAACAACAGAGGCTTCCATTCCAGAATTGAATCAAGAATAAGAGAATAAACTTTCCGATGAGTTTTAGCTTTTTGAAAGTCCAATGACTTATGATGTTTAAAACACTACAGAGGCGGTCGAATAATAGGATTAGACAGAACAAGTGACTTAGGTGAATCTAGGTATTGATATATTTAATGAATGCAATAGACAACCTGGATTCCATTTAAGAATTACATGTTATATAGGATAATTATGTTAAAAATGATCAACATCTAAATAGTGTTCCACAAGCAGAAGATAACTTTGCTTTAGGAGTTACAATTATGTGTGGGTTGACTTTGGCAGGACTTATTGGATTCTCAATTAAGAAATGTGCTTTTAAATCTAATTGAATGGAAATTGAAAAATGAAACATATTATATTATGCGTAATTAATTAATTCAAGAACTTTTTTATTTTTAAATGAATTATTGCACTAGCTTTGACACTTCAGGGTTATTAATTTTAGGCAGAGATTGTCCTTGTTCTTTGGCATGAATTTCAACATTCCATTTCTCATCTTGGAACCATCCCAAATTGTCAGCAATTAGATGAATATTGTCACATTTGTCACATCTTATTAGAACTACTCCCTTGTGATATGCATCCTTTGTGAAAGTGCGAGCCATTTTGTTCCCGCATGGACCACAGGTGAACATTAGCATGTATACTCCGCTGCCACCTTAATAGGTCCCAGGTATGGTGTCCTCTATACTATAGGATGCTGACAAATTGTCAACAACGGAATGAATTTTAGGTGCTTGTGGAGGTTGTTGAGTGGAGGAACAAAAGAAAAGGGGTTTCAAAGGGAAAAAGGATCTTCTAATAAATAACGATGCTTATTTCATAAATTAAATTTATGTGTGTTTTAGTTTAATTTTGAGCAAATCAATTATAATATATATAATAATTCTAAATTAAAATGTCAGGGAAAACAAGAGATTTCTTTGGAACTCTTAAATCAGTAAATAATTCAATCTAGTCTAGGCTGGGAGAACCGTCTTAAAGGAAGAAAGTGCTAGTGACTGCATTCAACCAGTTTAAAGCTAAGTAAATTTAGTCAGTTACGTAGGTCCCTGAAACTCCTCCTCACATCAAAAAATATCGTAAATCCTACAAACACCAACACGGATGCTCTATTGTAAATATAGATATTTAAATTTAGTTACACCCAGGACTTGTCGATGCTCCTAAGCCTCAAGGCAATTGGCTTTATGGAAAAAAGACTGATCCATCTGACAAAGCTGGAGATCTCTTCAAACAACAGCCCGAAGGAATCAAAGAATTGATCAACGAAATAAACGAATAAAAATATGCCTCTCATATCAAAGAGCCATTAGGTACTATGCCCACAAGGAATTACAATTGGCCTGAAGAATCCAAATCAGATGGCTTTGCCTTCGGTTAGAAGATCCCTCCTTCTGAATTTACAGCAAAAGAGGTTGTGTTTCCTCCTGACGCCAAAAGAGACGAGGAAAGTGTGAGATTGATGTATTTGAAAAGTCATGGGAATTTCGAAGCAGGGGAATAAAAAAATAGAGAATACAAGTGGAATGTCAATCCAACTGACTATCGCTTTGGCAAAAAAGACGAAAGGGAATAAGAATAAATGAAAAAGATCTTACAACATGAATTAACACAAAATTAATATCCTAAAACAACCATCATCTCCAAAAATTAGGAAGATTGGAAGAACTATAATGAAGATCCTCTTGGTAAACCCAAAAATTAGGCTTAAATTAACTCAAGAATGCCAGCAATCTTTGGAGAAATGAAAAAGGATGAATAATGGACTGCCGGATAATGCATTAATGGTTAACCCACTTCAAAAGAGGTTCAACCAGACATTGATTTGGGCAGAGCCACTAAGTTTGGATTCAGAAACTAAACTAAACAAGGAGATGAAACTAGAGCTTTTGGAGTACCTACCATTAGAAACGATATTGTTAAAACAGGAATGAAATCAGTTGCGGATCCTTAAAATTATGGTGATGAAGTTCCAGCTGTTGCATTATTATTCCCAGAGAAGTTTTCACATATGGGATTAACTGAATAAGATTTCTTAATGTTAAGAAATAAAAAAGACATTAAACAAATATTTGAATCTATAGGAATTAAATATGGTATTGGAAAATTTGAAGGTGTATTCAAAAGAGCAAAAGAAATCGTATTTTATTTATATTATATACTCTTAGCAAAATACATTTGATGATAAAGTGTCAGTCAAAGCATTTTAATTGGCTGTTTAAGAGATGCATCACATTGATTGATTTAATAATAACATCTATCTAAATATTTTACAATGTTTTCCATCCTGATAATAAAATACCAGTTTCATTCAAAGGAAATTTATAAATTCACTCTTAGGCAGAATAGTAAATTAAGGCACTTTTTAAATGTGACTGAAATTTAATCTTATCTTTATCTTTCTCCTCCTTCTTAAGCATATCCTATTAATTAATATTTGAAAAATTAATATATTGCCATAAAGTGTTCAATAATTAAATTAAACATACTTTCTTTATCCAGACTTATTAGTTATCGAAGGGATATATGCATTTATATATTGGAGTTGTTATGTCTTATTTAATGTTTTCTACTTTTCTAAGGATTGATAACTGTTTAAACTTGATTTAATATTCAATCTTGTAATCAACAACGTATTTCTAACTATATTTATAATTCAGTCATAAGGTATTTTATATAAATTTGAATAATTCTTGGTTAATTCCTATAAAATAGTGAAAAATAGGGTTGATTTAAAGTAAATATTTGTATGGGAAGATGATGAAATAAATTGGCTGATTAAGTTTACTTAATTGAAGATTTAATATTTGTTTAGTTGTAATACTTATATATATTAAATAAATAAATGTTTCTTGTTTTCAAATTATACTTAAAGAATGACTTTTTTATAATATTTAGAAAGCAATAATTTTATGTGGTTTGATTATTCCCTAAACTTGATTTGAGAAGAATTTAATTAAATGAAAAAAATTAATGAATTTTGTATGGTCAGATTTAATTTAGAGAACAGACACATTTTTAGTATTGATAGAAGGTTTTGCATATTGTATTCAATTTAATCTATTTATTCATTAAATATAATTGTTTAGCTCCTCTTCTGATATAGATTCGGAACCATGTTGTTTAAGAGAGGCAAATAATTTTCGGAAATATTATTTACTTCTTACTTGAGTGGGCATTTCTTTGGTTGGCTTGGATAATTTACTATTTTTTTTTCGTTTTATCATTTAAACATTAAATGGATTGAACTTTTAGTGGTGTGATCTGTTGTTGTAATAGGTTTTGAAAAATTATACCTGCACTAACTTGGACTTCTTGTGGCAATTACTTAACTCATTTTTTTGAATAATCTTTATCCTTTGTTATTTTAAGATGATTCAATCAAATCTTAAGACTGATGTAGAAAATCAAGGTAGAGTTAGTGTTCTGCAGGTGTCCAATGGCCTGATCTTATCGTATTATTTTACTATAGCTCTTATGCTTTACAGATAGACATGGATGGTACTTAAATTAAGAAGATTAATGTACCTGTTACATCAGATTTCATTTGATATTTTTAAATCTTGAATTAAAAAATTAATACACCAATGTTTATACATTAAGAATTACCTATAAATATCTTGAAAATATCTATTTAAATTATGATATAGGAAGATAATAATTTATATTTTTTGGAAGCATGAATGATAAATCTTCAAAAAAAAAGTAATTGTTAATTATAATTTGAGAATTATTGTGAATTTATTATAAATCAGATTTCTTTTTTGCTTTATAGACTATTTGGTAAAATCTACTAAGTGGATGAATCAAAAATCTTCTTCTTTTATCTTTGGACCTCATCGTTTGGAGTTAATTTATCTAGTCTCAAAATCAAATCACTAGTTAATTCATATATTTTCTCCTTATTCAATTCCAAATACCTTAGTGCTTCATTATACAACTCATTATTTAAGTATTCCTTATAAGGAGTTCGAATCTCCTCTAACTTCCCTTTGATTAGTTTTGAAACTTAATTTTGGGTTTAGTTTTAATTGAAAATCAAGAATTTTGAGATTTACTATATATTTTTCTCAAGTTCGGCTGGAGGTTTGTTAGTTTACTTAGCAAAATTGATTTAATCCTTAATAGCTTTGATGAAAATGATCTGAATGGAAGATTCAAAATATTCCTCCAAGGTTTCTTTTTGGGATTATTATTATTTTTGATTTTTTTCTGGCAAAGGGATGCAAAAAAGTTAAATGTCATCATTTTGATAGCATGCTTCGCAATAATAACTAAGATTAGTTTAATTAGAATACCCAGCAATTACTAATTTGAAGCAATAATATAAGGCTTTGCAATTTTGATGCTTGACACAGACAATTTAGTTAATTTATTTCATTTTTTAGGGAGAGCTAACATAAAATTAAAAAGTACGGAGTTTCTTCAAAAATTCCTTTTTAATTCGAATTAAAATATAATTAAATCAATTCCTTGTATGTCTTTCTATCACATTCTTCATATTAAAGCATATCTGTGATCAAATTCCTGATTCGGGCATTCTCTACTTTATCTAAAAACATATTTCTCTTATTTTTTTATTCGACCTTATGTCATTATTATTACTCATATACCATATTAAGTCCAACAATTTCAGTCGTTAGCAGTAGAGTACATTAAAGAAAAGTTAAGCCAAGAGAAAAGATGTCGGACTTTTCTAAATCGTGTTTAATTTTTTCAAACGAGCTTGGCTATTCAGATCTCGTAACAAATGCATTCCATAATATTGGTGAAAAATAGACCGGAGTTCCAACTATAGTGTTTTTTAAACTTTCCTAAATATTCAATTCATGCAAGCTCTTTGATACTCCAAAATCAGTGATTTTTGGTATTAAATTATCAGCTTCTAGTATGAGAATGTTTTCTGGCTTGATATCCCTAAAAAATCATTATCTAAAATAGAACCTGTGAAAAATTTATTTTTGTTCAACTAGAGTTGAAAATGTGAGCAGACATTTTTTAAATAACTCAAGCAACTAAAATGCTGAAAAATACGATCTTTCTTGTTTTCTGGTGTGAATTTCTTTCTATAAACTACGATCCGCTAATTCCATTACTAAAAGAAGACTAAATTTTTTTGGCATTAATTCTTGCCAAGCATAGACTTTTACAACATTTATCACATTTGGATGCATGTTGATGAGCTAATTAATTTTAAACTCATTTTAAATTTTGTTAAACATCTATTCATTTATAACTTCAATTTGTTTTGCTGCATAGTATTTCCCTTTCTCTAAAGGGGAATTCTCGCTTTTGCATAACAATTTATACACCTTCCCAAAAGCACCCTATCCTAAACGAACAGGGTTTGAAAAATCAAAATCTTTAATAAATTCTTCCTTAGTTGGGTAATACATTTATTTAAAATAATTGAGCATTAAAGAATATATACCCATGCATATATATATAACTCTGTTATTTTATTAGAAGTAATTTTCAAATATGACATTTATAAGTTTTATAATGAATTTTAATCATATTTGTATGATGATTCATTCAACATAATATTTGTGATATTAATAAACAACATTTAGAAATTAAATTTATTTATACTACTTTTAATAAATTCACTTCCACTATTAAAATAGCTTTAATAAATTAATTTGTTTTACTTTCTGAATTTATAAGGTCAAAAGAAACAACACAGATTAATATATATATATATAAATAAAAATTTAAGTAGCCTTTATTTTATTGTTAGTAAATTGAAATTTGGAAAAGAATGCTTTAAGAAAGATATTGAATATCTAGGTTATTCTGATATATGAAAATTTGCAGAATAATTCGATTTCGCAATGTTAAATTGTTAATGTTGACTTATGTAAGAAAACTAAATCAGGAAAAAGATTAAATTTAAAGTATATAGACTAGACAAGCATAATCAATAAAAGGTTCATGTATGATAAGATCGGAAAGATTATCATTCTATTAAATGATCCATAAATTAGTTTAAATGAAAATAACCCTTAATTGATAGATGTAAACATAGACATAATAAAAGTTAGAAAATTCATATGGAAAATTCAGATATGTTAATACAATAGTTTGGATAAAGAAATGAGAAATGGATTTACAGTGCATAAGAATAGCACTATGACTTTAAATGCATATATCAATATATTTATCCTATTTACTATAATAGAATAATGCTTTCAAATTAGCACTCATAAATTTATTCTATCAATTAATTATTTAATTATAGATTATTAGCATTATACATTACTTAGTCAAAGATATGAGTCACCTGAAATAAACTCAATTAATAAATCAATTAAGCATGAAAAGTCCAAGCAAAAGAGTTATAAGCATTTAAATTAAATAATTTAATAATGTTCCAATAATATAAGATACTGAAGAATAATATCATAAAATCCATTTCTAATCACTATTCACTTTTTTACCTTTTTTCCTTGCCTTCGCTCCATTAACTTCCACATTGCTATCCATTTTTATCTATAAAAATGCCTTTGCCGTGTAATTTTCCTTCTCGAAACTGTCCTATATATTTTGATCCCTCTGTCCATCTAAATTCTCCCTCACCATGTTTAACATCATTGTAATATTAACCTTCATATTCTCTGCCATCTAGCCATACAAAATGACCTTTGCCATGCATTTTTCCATCTTTAAAAGATCCTTTGTAACGTCTTCCATCAGCAAAAATCAATTCACCAAAACCTGTAATTTAGTCATTATCAAATTGTCCATTGTATATATCTCCATTAGGGAATTTGGCAATACCTTTTCCCCATCTCTTTCCTTCTCTAAATATCCCTTCAAATTCACTGCCATCATTTAAAATCTCTTTACCTTAACCATGCTACTCTTAATATTATAATAACCTTTTAATCTAGCAACCATTCCCCTTAGTATTGAGAACCGTCAAATTCATAAAATATTCCATAACCATTTGCGGAATTATTTTTCCATTCCCCATCATATGCGTTACCATTTGAGTGAATAATCCTGCCTCTCCCATTTGCTTAATCAAACTTCCAATAGCCTTCATAAATTGAGCCATCAGCAAAATACTATTTTCCTCTCCCATGCCTCAATCTCTATAACCACTACCCTACATAAATATTGCCAGTGTTTTTTTTATGTTCCTAAATAATATAATAATAGTTACATGAGCCATAAAAAATCGGCATTCATTAAATTCTTGAGGCAACTACTTCTCAAACTTAAACTTACCCAACTTATTATAAGTTATCTAAACATTCTACTCCAAAGTCTTAGGTTCCTTGCTACTTATCCAAGCCTCCCCTGGTTTTTCTCTTTCAGCTTCTTCTTTCATTTAAGCAGCAACCTTTTTAGCTTTTTTCTTCCTTATTGATTTTTGGATAGTTATTATCTCTTCTTCGTGTTCCTCAAAGTTTATTTATTATGGAACCAACGTAGGAACCTATTCTGGTTCATATTGTTGAATATCAACATTTTAAATCAATCCACCTGTTTATTGCGAACAACAAATGCCCATTAAATAATTATTTATTTATGTAAAAGTTATGAAAATTTTATAAATTATATGTCCTATTTAAAATTTAACATAATGTTAAGTCTCTGAGATTATAAAATGAAGCCATGCACAATATATAGAATACAAAACTATATAGAAATAATTAATATAAATCAAATATATACTCGAAGGTCATATGAGGATATTTTATTTTAAAGCATTTTTTCGTTAATAAAAATGTCTAGCCTTTAAAATATTTGTTAATTAATTAGAGATGAAACGATCTGATTATGGACTAGGAGAGTAGGATTTATCTGTGGACGTTGAAGTGTCTCCATTGATGGGAGGGAGTTTTATGATATTAAGGGACTATTCCAATTTTTCCCTTTGAGAAAATCTTGGTGCATATTTGCTTGTCCTTCTTGCTAAACCATTAGCTAACTATTAAGAAATTAATATTTTCGAATTTCTAGGTTTGTTCAGTTGTTTGAACACATCAAGTTCCAAAATATTTTCACAATTTAGAGAATCAATTTATTTTTGATATTTTTCTGTAAAAATCATTTCGAAAAACCGTCTAAAAGGAGGTGATAATTCCATATACTCAATATAACTGATGTTTTTAAAGTTTTTCATTAGTAATTCATCAACCAATTGATTTTCTTAATAAAACTTTTAGGTGAAAATGCTCAACATAATTATGCTTAAAGAGTATATGTCTTTTTTCATATAGAATTTCAGAGCTCCCTCTTCTTACGAAGTCATATGATCTAAAGTCTTAGTTCTTTAAGGTATTTAAACTGCTTTCCCATAATTGATCAAGCAAACCGACTCTAAGTCCATGGGATCCCTTAGTATGATATTATCAAATCTAATATCTGTATGATAAATATTCAATTTGTGTAAGTAATTTAAAGAAATGAAAAGCGACTTCATTATTTTCATCATGTCTTATTCAGTAAGGTCTTAATTAATTATGTATTATTTTATTGGCCCTCCTTCTAATAATTCTGTGACGATATAGATATTTAATTCTCCTTCAAAAATCTCGTATAATTTCAACAAACCTTTATGATTGATTTATCTCAGAATGCGAATTTCATTCATACACAACTCCCTCTCATAACTATTACTTTTTATGAGGTTTGATTTTTCGTATATTTTAACAGCAAATTCTTGACCATTCATAATGTTCTACGCTTTGTAAACCTAGGTTACTTTAAATTCTTACTTAAGATAAATATCCACTTCCTACCTTTTTTATTACTTTATACTTTGATTAAAAATCAGATTGAATCATGTATATCTTAATTTTATTCAATATTTCTAATTGAATTCCAAAAAATTCGGCATACTATCCATTTTTGCTTAGTCTAAAACCAAATTGCTTGTTTTTTTAATTGATAATACCTTTCAGGCATATATTTTCAACATCGATGTATCTATCTGATTTCTAAATTTAATTCTATATTTACTTCATCACTAATTTTAAGAATAGAATCCGCCATATATATTGTTACAATTATTATCTTCTTTTGATAGGTCATTTAAAAAATTCCTTGATCTACAAAATGAAGATTTTCGTATGATGAAGTTGTAAATAATTAATTTCCATCATTAAAAAATGAAGACTTCGAGTTATCGGAAGATGAACAAGTGCTTTTTTTCATTAAAAATATAAATCAATGTTTTTCATTATCATTAAAAAATAACTCGTTCTGAAGTCGTTAAATTTCGACCAAAGCAAATAATAAAAAATATATTATGAAACATCTAAAATGATTTTGAAAGTTTTAAAGTTCTTTTTGCATAGTACGGATTCTTTATTCCTAAAATGTTTTATCTTTTAATATATACTTAAATACTATAGAAGTAGATAAAGTGAATGTTTTCATGATTACTTATCTATAATTTAGCATTAATGGATTCAAAAAGGGATTAAAATTGATAAATTGCATACTTGTTGCTAGTTGATAATGAAATTTTATTAGTAATATGATTAGGTTTATATTCTAGATGTTATCTTAAAGTTACTAAATAATCTAAATCTATTTTGAAATATTGATCTATAGACTTGATGTAGCAGTTTGGTTGCGGATTTGATATTTTTTAATTATAGTTTTTTTAATTGCTTTTTATATTTAATCAGTTAAAATTAACTTGTTTTCAAATGATGTCTTAGAATTCGTTTTTTAGGTTGATACCAAAAAGTAATACGAATAGATATGATTAATTGAGGTTGAATTAGAATTGTCATTTGAATAATATAAAATAAATAGTTCAATTAAATTAGAATTTATTTGAAAAATGACTCCTATCTGTTTATGGCTTTTAGCTAGAAGACATTGATTTAGTTTGTAATCTTGGAGTAGAGGAAACCAAATTATATTTTTTTGATGACATCTGTGATAATTAAGGATTGGTATCTTCATGATTTGTTCTTCTTGCCGATGTGAGCTATTATGTATTCAAATGAGGTATGGTTGGTTTAGTAACAGAATTACCTTAAAAAGGAATCTGAGTAATAGTCTGGTCAAATGTGTATCCATTAAAAAGTTCTTATATGGATTGTCTCCTTAGCATAATGCCATTTTATTCAATTTGTTGACTGTCTTCTTCCTCTCTCATATTAGCAAATTTAGCATCAAAATTATCATGGTTGCACTAAAATCATGTAAAGTGAACATTACATTAATTTAATAAGGGGTAGCAGCAGTTTAATTAAAGAAGGTAGTCCAATCAATGTCCTTGAACCAAGGGTGAGTTTAAACTTCTTCTGGACCATTAGCTCCTAGTCGATTGCTTGGCTTTCTTTACAATGCCCTGTTAATGAAATCAGCTGATTCTTCTGACCACCCATCAGGTAGTTAATTTAATTTAACTAGAACTTATTTAGCTAGAATTTAATCTCTAATTTCCCTTCTTGTTTTTCCTATGTAAGGTCTCTACATAGAACTAAAAATAGATACTTTTCCGAACATGCATTCGTAGGCAATGACGCCAACTGCAAAGTAATCTGATGCTACTCCATGGGCTTGTCTGCACATGACTTCTGGAGCCATATAGCCTGGAGTTCCACTAGTGTCATTTTCATTGTCAGGTTTCCAGATTCTGGCAATACCCAAATCTGTTAATCTTAGATAACCTAATTTAGAATTTGAATTATAACCATTTCTATCGAAGACCAAATTCTCCGGCTTGACATCTCTGTGTAAGATTGTATTGGTGTGGAGGTAATCCAGAGCCAGCAATAGACAAACTATGAAGAACTCTTAAGATTGATTCTAATTATGTACTTGTTTGTTTTTCAGTAAACCTTTTCTGCTTACATAAGTGGTATCTTAGGTCGCCTCCTTGCATCAAGTCCATTACCAAGTACAGATTGTCTCTGTCCTAAAAGGATGCATGCATATTAACTAAAAATCTATTTAGACCATATTTATTACGGATGTCTTAAATTGCATAGCAGATATTTTTCATTCATGACGGAACTGACACTCTTCTTGTTTACAATCCTTAAGATTAGTATAGTGCATACTTGCATTTGCTCAACTCTTTTATTGCGTATAATTATTTTGTCTTTTTATTCTCGGCCTTCCAAACTCTTCCAAACCCTCCTCTGCCAATAACAAAGAGCATATGAAAATCATTTTTGGAGGGCACTAGACATAATTTGATTATGATTACATGAAACATCATCAAAATTTACATCTTTGCTGTTATTACAATTTCCCATATGAAAATTAAATTTATTTTAAAATAATACAATAAAATCAAGGGGATTGTAGTGAGGATAACTCTGCGTCCTCTTCTTTAATTACATTGCCTTATTGTTCTGGATTGATATTGACTAGGTATTAAGCAAAGGCCTTTGGAGAGATGTCCTTTAAAGCTTCCTATTTCAGTTGTTCCAAAGTAAAGCTTTACTGACGAACCTTTTCGAAGTTTTTAGCCATATCAAACATGTAGCTAAAATGATTAGGATGATTGGTATACAATTCTAAACGCTTTGTTTCTTCAACAAATTTTCTTTGTGTTTCTTTGAGTGTGTTTTTTGGATTAGCCTTAAAACTAGGGTCTTACTCATTAAAAAAGTCTTATCCTATTATATTCGACATATGATCATACCCTTCATTGCAGACTCCATGATTTTTTTCAAATCGTTCGGAATGGCATGGTCCATCAAAGTGTTGAAGAAGGAATTACACAATTCTATCCTTCTTATTGACTGAACTCCAAATTCTTGGTCTAAAATTCTTAGCTAGGATTGACAAGGGGAGTTTTTGAGGTTGAGCAGCTGGTTCTGGTAGTTCATATGGAATTCTTTGATCTAAAATAAAAGGGATTATGTTAAAAAGTACCATTGATGGAATTTTTGCACAATAATTTATATAGTTGTTTTGGTTTGCAATGGTTGCTTGCAGTCTCAACATTTCCTGTGTCAATTCCTCAACCTTATTTTCAAGGAGTTCAATGTATATCTTCTTTCTTTTTCGTGAATCTCTTGCGGATTGTCTGTTTCGAGCCAATTTCAATTGATGTGTATTGGCACCGAAGGGCTCTTCAGAAGAATCACCTGCTTGCTTCATTTTTCTCTTCCATTTGTCCCCATTCCTCTTTGTACTAACAAAATATATAATGTCATTACTGTTTGGGAGTGATTTCAGTATCAATTAGTTGAGTTATTTTGCTAAGATAGATGCTTTTGGACTAGTTGACATTGAATAGCTCCTTGTTCTAACATATGATTTCTTCTTCTTTTTTTATTTTCTTTTAAGGAAAAACCGTATTGAGATATTCAAAAGTGGGAAGAAAGGGGTTTTATTCTTCAAAACCAAATAACCACTTCTCATGGAAAGCTTCCTGTTCAGATATATTCTAAGGGGTCATGCCATAAATTGAATTTTGAGGGGGGAGAGTTAGCATTTAAGTGTTTTAAATTAATATTTATGACGCTATCGAATTACTCCATGACGAGATTTAAGAGGAAAATTTGTTGAAATCCGAAAGACAGCCCAGACACTCAAATAAAAGTCAAAATGTTGATGGTTGTTACCAACTAAATCATATTTATGTGTGGGGAAAGTTGCAGGCCTTCGCTTTTGCGTTGCATCGTAAATAACATTCTTGGAAACAATATTATATAAAAAAGAAATAAAAACGCAGGAATCACACAATTGGATGCTTAGTTAATTAGTTATAATAATAAGAATTGGGTTGGCAAATCGATCACACAGACAAGATTGTGTGAGAGACACACAGGTGGTCTGTATTTTCAATTATTTTAATATTTATTATATAATGATTTTAGAATAAGCTGTATAATATATATTAACTATTATAAGTTATGTGATGAGAATGAATATACGAGGTTGGAAAAAATAAGAATTGGGTGTAAGTATATATCATCACAAATGCCATTTATGACATCTTTTAATGATCCGCAAACTATAAAATAGCGTAATATTTTAAAGCCATATTAAGTTATTTGCTGTTATCCTTTTTCAAAGAATAATGTTGAACTACTAGTTTCAGCTCTTTTTGATCGATTTAGAGATTTAGACTTTTTCAATTCGTTTTACAAAGCAATTGATGAAATTTCTTAGTTCCCTGAACAAAAAGTGCTTCTGAGTAATGCAAGAAGTATGAAATAATCAACAAGAAAATCTATCTTGAGGTACCCCTGATTTTAATGTCATAGAGGCCCAGGAACATCGACAGCTCAATATTCGAAATAATTAATAGAGAGTCTCATTAAGGTAAAATAATTCGCATCGCAATATCTATTTTAATTGTTTCAATTAGGATAGGAATTGGATATTAATTTAGAAGAATAAGCGAATATATTTTTGAAATTCCTGAGGAACACAAGAGAGGAAAGCTTTATCACTGAGTTAATCGATACCTTTCAGAATATCAAATAGCACATCTTCAGAAATTCTTTGTGGTCAATCTCCATTGAAGATCAAATTGAATAGTGTAATTTAGATATCAAACGAATTTAGACTTCTATACAATCTAGCATCCTCCAACAGCAACAAGAATAGAAATTCCACAATACGATACCGATTCAGACACAGATAGGTCTGAAATCGACATGAATGAAGTGATAGAAGAATGGATATGTTCAGATGAGCAAGGTTACATCAAACAACAAATTGAGTACTTCAGAAATGATGCCTATTTTGAATTCATTATGAAGTTGGTTTTCGACCCCCTTAATTCCTAGCCAATACCTCTATGGGTATGTGCATGTATTTATTGAATAGTTCCAATCTCTTAAAAAAGATGATGATGAAATTAATGATTACAGAATGTGGAAATCAGATTCTTTGAAACTAGACCTCGTGTACAATCTGAGGTCTAAAAAGGTCTTAAAGATCATCACCAATGATAAGAACTTCGCTATTATCAATAAATAAGTCCCTCAATTATTGATGAAAATATGTAAATCTCTAATCTAATTAGTTTACATGATATATGAAGCTCTTGGGGACAACGAGAAACCAGTCAATCTACAACATATAGCTTATTTGATTGATTACCTGTTCTTGCAAAGTCCTAAATCTTGTCTCTATTATGTTGTGGATTTGAACTTACTTTTCGCATTTTCTTAGTACCTTTATAATCCTTACTTCTTGAATATTTGCGAAAGTACTCCTTCTTTATTTTCTAGAAATGATGAATTTGATTGATGATGAATATCAGTTAGGCATGCATGTCTAAGAGTACTTTTGGTTATACATCCAATCCTCCTAGTTCTTTGATTATCTGACACTCATAATGACAAATTAGCCAGTAGATAAATCTAAGTAAGAGAGATCTTACAAATCTGATTAAGCGGTAATCCACTAGTTTAATTTAGTATCACGTAATTCCCTTATTGAAGGCTTAGACTAACTTTGATAAGTTACCTATAATGCAAGATTCGAATTTAAGTGAGAAGAAATACTTAACAGAATTATTAGGTTAAATTACTCCAGGTAAGACTCCAAATGATTTTTATGGAATGACTAAGAATAATTGGCATTTGTATGACGACATTCAAGAATATATTTCAAGTCAAGAGTTCAAGTTTAAGGATTTAGATAATCTGAATGAATTTGTAAAATAGAGGAATTAAAATCATTCTAAATTTCAACACAATTTTGATGATCAAAAATTCAAAAGGCAAAGAACTATAGTTTTAACTTAACACAACTCTGTTAGTCCACAAAATAAGGGGTTGTGTGGTTAAAAGTTAAGTGCTGTGGATATAGACAAATTTGAAGTCAAATCTACACTCAATAAAAACAGTAAAGCTTTGCCTCGATTGAGTTCAGCTTCCAAACAGAATAAATGGGTAAATGGTAATCAATAAAAAACCTATCTCAGACAAGGAACTCAACAGAAGCAATAATTGCTTATGAATACCTCAATCAGGTTAAGAACATTTGGATCTGATAAATCTGACTTCAGTTCTAATGATGGTTTCTCAAGTAGTCGTTTGAAAACTATTTATCCCAGTTATAAGATGCAACAAGAGACCAAATTTGAGAAGGATTTGCAATAAATACATAAAAATGAATCGACAGCTTCTTCTTGTGCTTAGTTGATCAAGGGACTGATCCAAACAGCATTTCACTATTGTTGGAGAAAGATTAATACCTTAGGATTGTGCAAACAAATATATAAATTAAATACAGACTTGCTGTTTTGTTCAATCATTACAAAGAATTCTTTGGAGAGATTATTCCAAATTTATTTATCGTCTCTACATAGCCCAAATGATGGATTACTGTCCAGTGCAGATGAATGTGGGATGATTATCAATGAAATATATTCCAACTATCCTAGACTAAAATAATAGAATTTGATTGTGGAAAGCTTAAGAACCTGTTTTACAAATGTTATTGATTTCTTGTGTAAGACAATTGTAAAACTAAATAAACAGTAACAAAAAATGGGACATTAGTAGTTAAATTTCAAATAATTTATTATTACTGATACAATACTATATGGATTGTAAATGTTTGAGTAGAACAAGTCCTAAATTTAATAGAAGAATCCCTACTTGTACTTGAATGAGACTGTATTGCATATCTTGGTCATTTGGTATTTCGATTACATTCAATTGAATATCCAATAGGATCAATTTATCAATTTATTTATCCTCATAATGACAAGAGCTCCTTAACATATAATTATGCATCTAATGTTTAAGTTGGGATTCATCACTTCCCTTTATAATTTTTATTCGAAATATAGTAAGAATGGAATGATATGCACTTCAGGTGTAGAATCATTTTATTTGCATTTAACATTCATTATTCATATTATCAATGAAACAATAAACAATAGAAATCTGTCAGTTGTTTAAATAAGTTTGAATTAGTTGCAATCATGGCAGTCATTACTACAAATACTTCCCAATCCCAATAGCAAAGCAGTGTTAATTTTGAATTAGAGAATGAAATGTTCTTCTATTTTTATTCCTATAAGAGTGGCAGTCAACTAATTCCATAGCATGAGATCTATGGATGGAGAATCTGTGATGATTCCATAGAAGATGATTCTGGATCAGATTAAATAGAAGTAAGAATTCAATAATAAATATCATTTAGATTAAATGTGCCTACCAATCTTATTGATAAGAAGAAAGGAAAGAAGTTTCTGGATTGTGTTAAGGAGAAGGTTGAACAACAAAAGAAGGATCATTAAGTAAAGGCCAAATGATTTATTATATATATTTATATATTAATTTATATGATACTTGAATATGCTGTAATATATTCTGACTTAAACCATAGCTAAAAGAAGAAGATGAATATAAAAGAATGACGAATATCACTCGAGGATGTCAATAATTGGCACAATAACTGCCATTTTATGAAACCTTTACTAACTCTAATTTAATAAGATAATGTACTAATAATATTACTATTGAGTGTTTTGTTGTTACCCCTTTTAAGAAGAACCTATAAGACTTTTGCTCAACATTATGATGGAGAGATTTTAAAATCTAGAGTTCTTGAATTGTTTACACAAGGGTCTGAGCGAACTATCCCTATTGCAAGAATAAAAGACTATGCTAAGTTGTAGATCAGCTGGGAGAGGAAGAAAAAGTCAATAAAAGTACTGAAATATAATATTAGGATTATAAGCTGGATAGGCATACGCTAAAAATGTAATTGAAAGTTTGGTAATTTCAAAACAATTCGGAGTGACCTATTTGAAACCAATGTTTCATTTAGCTTCAAAATTGAAACAATCCTTAGAGAGTAGATGTGGTATCTTTACATCTTTCCTCTTCAACACTCGAGATCAATAAGTCATAAAATTGTTGGTTGATATCTTTCAAGATTGTAAAAATGAAATCTTTGGTGCTTGTACTTGGGTCAATAGAATTGAGGATCAATTTGAACAATGTACACTATCTTATTTACAATAAAGATTTCTATTAAAATTAAATACTTAAATCTTCCAGTTCAATTCAAGTCGACCAAGATGAACTGCTTGATAATAGTGAAGCTACAGAGTCTTCTATAGAAATTGATCCAAATGAAGAAATACAAAAATGGATTTGTCGAGATGGCATACCACTTGCAAATGAATAATTGGACTACTTTAGGAGCCCTGAATGTTTAGAGCTAATCTTCCAATATATTTTCGATCCTAGTCATCTATCCACTATCCATGAATGGGTAATTGTACTTTAATAACCATAGTCTCATCACTACAGCGATGTAAAGGTTAAGCATAATTATAAATCAAGAAAGCCTAATCAAACTTAAGATATAGATTAATTGTGTCTTATTCGCTCTCTTAAAACTTTATAATTGCTGATGCACGATAATAACTATACTGTTATTAGTAAAATAGTACCATAATTCATAATGAAATTATGTAACATTTTTGATCTCATTTAGTTCATGGAATTTATGATGCTTTGAATGACAAAGATAAGAATGTAGATCTTAATTAAATTTCTCTACTATTGGATTTTCTATTGTTGACAAATCGCAGATAATCCATACTCTTGATTATTGAATTAAATCTTATGTTCTAATTCGTATCCTTAATGTACAATGAAAATATTGAGACAATTGTGTAAAGTATAAATAAAACCATATTGCTTAGAAATCATAATGGATGAATATGAGATGGGAAATTATGTGTTCGAATAATTTTGGTAATATTTGGAATGCACTAATTGGATACAATATTTCCTATTTTTATCTTTGAAAATTAAGGTCGACACTTTCAAAGCCAATAAAAACAATTAAAATGATAAGACAGTAAATATTACAGGTCTATTAAAATCATAAATAAACTTTGATCGTTTTAACAACAATACTGAAATAGACCTTAATGAAAAGAAGATGCTCACCGATTTCTTAGGTTAAATGTAACCAGGTAAGAACTACGTATAGTAATATGGGATGAATTAATTAAATTGGCAATTAAATTAAAACATACGTGAATATATATTTGCTAGTGAAATTGAGGGGAAGGATATAGATAATCTAAGATTATTCACAAGTGAAAGATAATAATATTAATCAACAGTTCAAATTTCAGCTAAAGATAAGCATTTTATTAAATAAATAATTAAAAATGACACATTGCTCATTAGACCCAATAGTAGAAGAAACATTAAGCAAGCTCTGTAGTAAAAGAATTTAACAAACCTCCAAATTGTATAAACTATTAATCAATTACCAAGATTAACAGTTGGAAATCAAGAACTATAAAAATGGATTCAACCTCAAAAGGCTACTAGTATTATTTGTATCAATCAAAATTCAAGAAAAAGTCCAAGACTCTGTCCAGTTCGAACTGAATAAAGTGTTGATGTCTCCTCATTTTATGAAGGTTTCTCAAGTGGAAGATTAAGAGGACTGTATCCAAGTCCTAAAATATCTATCTAATCTAGCAGTTTCGAACGAAAAGCAATTAAATATGCATCTGATATCTCGTTGTTGCCATCCTGTATTTCGATCTAGAAATTACTGATTCAAAGTGTATTTCAAAATATGACTAATTTGACTCAAACGGATAAAAAGTAACAATAGCGAATAAAAATAGAGTAAGATTATATTTTACCATAATTTTTCAATAAGGAAATCTTGACTTAAATATTTAGAGTCTATTTATATGACATTAACAATATTGATAAGTCTATTGCAGATATTTCATGTGAATGCGGATTATTAGTAAATGAAATCTATTTAAATTGTATCTAACATTCTGAACTTCACTCTTTTAAAAGAATTTTGAAAGATTCTTTCTATGAAATTGGTGATTATATTTGTAAAGTGATCGTAAAATTACATGATGATTCCTCCTCGAAATTTAAAAGATAATTATTAATTACTACTCTATAAGAAGGTCTAATGTTATTTGGTGAGTAATAGGACACTCCTAAAAATGTGTTTAGTTTTATGAATGAAACGATGCTGCATTTACTTATAGTTTGGTTTTTTGATAGTGATTAATCCAATTTGTACTAGTAGGCATTTGTAAAGTATTATTCAAGAAGTTATTTTAGATTATTTTCGGTAATCTTTTCGAGAGGTCCTTCGTATTTACTTGGTAATATACTATTCAAACTTGGATTAATTAGCTCATTAAAAAATGCCTATTTCAATTTCTTTGTAAATAGCATTAAATTTACAAATGGAGTTGAAAGCTTGTTTTACTATGTGAGCGTTCTGATCTATGCAATATAGAAATCATTAAACATAAGAAAAATATCGTCAATTTTAAGTAATTTAGAACCTTTGAATTCTTGGAAATCTTTAAAAGATATAAAAATTGATAACAATTCTCAATTTGTTTAACAGATCGATTTAATAATTCTGGAAAATGATGGAAGAACTCCAAGATAAATAATTAAAAAGAAAACAATCGTAATCCCAAATAAAAATATGTTGCAAAGTAGAAAATCTTAAATAACCATGCTTAGTAGTCATAAGTAATAATTTGTTAATAATTATAAGATTTTCGATTTAATAAACTGCAAATGATTTAGTAAATTTAATGAAAACTAAGGATAAATTGATTCTTAATTAGAAAAGAAGTATACATTTTTGAATAAATTGATATAATTTAATTATATATACTGTTTTAAAAATATAAATAAAATTGTTTCTTCTTAAACTATTTTATGTAGGTTTCTATAAATTTATTTATTAAAAATATATAGATGAGAAAGATTTACTAGTTACATCAAAATCATTCAATCTTATTTCTCTTACACATGAGGAAATCAATTAAATTAATTCCAATTTATAATTGATAACCATCTGAACGTTTATTCTATTATAAAAACATAGCCTTACAATACAGAGTTATATTAAAATCTTTTGTCTATTGCAATAAACCAAAATATTTAATTTTTTATACTTATTTCTAATCGGATGTAAAAAGGGAGAGATAAGTTGAAATGGTTAGGAAATTTCTTACTTTTCTTATCAGGATATTTTGAATTCAAATTGAGTTGCATAATGCAATATATAATTTCTAATTGAATTCTGTATTTCTTAGTTATTACAACCTTCAATTTGTAATTAAAAGGGATTGAATTCATTCGACAAGGTGTTATTTACAGTTTATTATTACATATAAATATTCTCCTTGAAATTCATCATTTAGGAATTTGGAATATAACTGCTATTGAACTTTTGATATAATTATAAAAATTTCATTTCAATTCAAACTTTTTTGGTTAAGTAATTTGTAATGAGGATCTTATAACTGGAGAATGATAGGACAGACTTCCATCTATAGAATGTAGAGATCCATCATTTTTTGGGAACAAACTTAATTATTAAAGGATAGAGCCTTGTCCGTTTTTAACTTTAAAAGTTGAAGGCTCAATTTTTTTCTTTGACTAGATTGTTTGTGTATCCAGGGAGGCTCTACATAGTGGACAAATCTACGAGTTTATACACAAAATACTTTATTATTTTTCATCCATCTTTCAAGACATCTGGAGTGAAAAACATGTTCACAGTATGTCATTCTAACGAGGCTACTAGATGTAAATGACTCTAGACATATTGAACAAGTGGTTTCAGATTTAGATTCAGGAAATCTATCGGATACTGACATGAACTATTGGGCAGGCATTAGATTTTCAAATCTTTACTTATTTTTTATAATTTATTTTTCTTTGTATATTTTAAGCAGGTATGTCAGTGTTATGAAGATTACTATTAAGCCAAGTATGAATGCCATAACAGAAGCGACCAAAATGATTGAATAGTATTGTTCTTCCAATTCTGCCAATTTGATTACTGTGGTAGTGTTAGTTATAATTACAAATTAGGAATAATATTTAAGTTGTGTGAAAACTCTGAGAGTTTCAGTTGCTTCTTTGCATTTTGTGATTGATTCTTCGGAGATATAGATGACACTGCTTTGATTCAGAGTGGATAGCAGATGAGGGGAATCGGCATAGCAGGTAATGGTATATTGCAATTCTTAATTAAGAATTAATTTAAAATCGTTAGTCTACAATGTAATGAGATCTAAATAAAATATTTGCAATCCATGAAAATAACTGTTCTGGTGTATATTTGATGATACGATATTACAATCGAATCCTAAATAACCTAAGGGACATTAACATAAGCCTTTCATGCAGATTCCTTAATTTTTGCAGTTGCTTATATAGTTAATAAAATTACACGACACACTCATCAATTCCAATTCTTTCAATTGTTAAAATTAAAATCGAATTAAAATTCGAATATATTATGGCAAAACATGAATTGTCTTCTATTGAAAATATATTATGGTATTCAGAAACTAAAGTTGGCATTTTCTATTGAGTAAGGACAATCTACTGTGTTTAGTTTTCTAATATGTAGGCATTGTAGTCTACAAGGCAATTGGAGTCATGACCATTATCTTGCTAAAAAAGAGTTTAAAATTTTTCAATATCATTTAAGTTCATCTAGCAAATTGCCAATAAAGAATGTTTGTTTGATTATTGAGTTAACATAACTCTTAATTTATATTCTTGGGAAAGGCTTGAACAATATTAATTTAATGGAAAACTCTAAATTCCTAGTATTGAATTGAAGGAATTTTAATACAGGATATCCCCAACACATGTCTGTATCAAAGTATAAATAATTGAAATCATAAAAATAATTAATTAAATTGAAAGCATATTAATCAAATTTAAGACGATTGTGCTACTTGCTGAGCAATATTAAATGAACCACATATTCTATTGTATCCAAGTAGTCTGATTATTTTGTGCGATTATTCACTGATTCTTTATTTGTCACTAGTGTTCAACTACTGATTTCCATTATCTAACTGAGTTTCAAAATATTTAGTCAGTGTTTCTACATTTAAAGAAGATCGACAAGTCGGGCAATTCTTAAATGATATCATTTTGTTACTTCATTTTGATTAATCCAGATATCAATACATTCTGCATGAAAAAAGTGAAAGCAATAAGTAATTCTGACTTTGTCCTCTTTTTTGTAAACATCTAAGCAAATTTAACACGATTAATCATCTGCGAGGCCTGGAAACTGTTTGATGACCTCCTCGTATATTTAAATAGGAATATATTTGTGAATTGAATTTAACGATGGCATTTATTTAGAGATTGGGATTTAAGTAGTGTTCAGATTGTTCATTCTTCCATTCGATTTCTTAAAATGAAAGCAACAATACATGACTACAACTAGTAAAAATATTCCTATTGATGTGACTATATAGAGGATTGTGTTTTGATTGGATTCAACTAATTGGGACTCCAAATAAATAGTATCTTATTCAGCTACGAATACATAGAGTGGTTATAAGTTTATTGAAAACTCTTTATTCACTTTTTTAGTTTCATCTAAACACTCCATCTGTTGCTATTAAGTGAGTTCTAGAAAACTATCTAAAATAAACTCTCCTCGATAAACATAAGGATTAAAAGCTAAACATCCAATTCTAAAATTTGACTTTTCTGTAAAATTTAGAGACACTTCCTATAATCTATGACAATCACCATACCTCTAACTTTGTGGCGTTTATGTAATATATTACATCTTTTTCAAAATTATCATTTTCCTACAATTATATTATATTGATGCTACAGTCATCTCCAAAGAAACCCCTTTAACAAACACATTGACCTCTAATGCAAATGCTTCCTTATTAGCATTCCCTAAATAAAGATTAACATTTTATACAAATAGCAGGATTACTTTTAATGGATGGCAAAAACAATGAAAAAGTCAATTTTTGAGTTTGAGTAAACTGTGATAGAGGGAACACTTCCTTTCTCTAAATACATAATATTCATAAAGGTTTTGTAATCATCTTGAAAATCTAAGATAATTTATTGTTTGAGTCTCCTGATATCATATGAATTTAAGTCAGCAATACAATTTTGTCTAGGTGTAAGATACAAGAATACTATTAAATTGCATGAAGATCAGGTTAATCCTTAAAATTATTGCTTGCTCTACAAATCAACAATAATGGAATTGTTAATTTTTGGTAATTAGTTATTGATATGACAACTCTTTCATCGTTTGATATCTATCTCCTCAATAAGGAGGTTGTCTCTATTGTGATCTAACCTTAAACGGATTTATATCCTTTGCTAAAAATAATATCAGCATGACAAGCTGTTATTAATAAATATAGAAACATTAATTAAATCATTATTCTCATTTTTATTTTTATAAGCAAAACTACTAAGTAATTTAATCTCCTTTTAAAAATGGCGATGGTGTATTTTCCTTCATTAATATTCCATTAGCAGAATCAGGAGACGATGTTTCTTAATTATTGAAGATTAATGAATACATTGAATTTTTTTCAATCTTTATTCTCGTTTTTGTAATTCAGCCAGTTTTTGTTCATCTATTTGCATTGCATCATCTTAGATCACTCCCAATTGATAAATCTATTCTTCTACTCTCTATTAAAGGGCTTTCTTTTTGGTTAGATTTTCTCTGCAAAATGGACAAGTCTATGAATATCTAAGATTTCGATACTTGATTTCTCCTTCTCCATTCATCTATACATGTGGAATGAAATAAGTGTAGGCAGAATGTTAATTTGACTAAATCCTATTTTTAGAATTCCACTAGACATATCTAGCATTCAGAAATTTCAATCAAACCTGGGTATTCTTGAATGATTTGTTCATATAATTCCACTGGAATATTATCTTATCGTAGACTTTTATTTTTAATTCCATTAAGTGATCTCATATTTATGGAATTTTAAACTCCATTGTTAATTCTTCTAGCTTTTCTTTGAAAGTAAATAACACATATTATGATTAACAATGCCACAATCAGAGCTCCTAAGGCACCAGCTAAAATATAATATATTTCTAATCCAGAATCATCATCATTACTGCTATCTACGTAGAGCTTCAGTTCTACTTAGGTATCTTTATTTTGATTATTCACTAGTAATAATACTATATAATTATCCATTTCGACTCCTAAATTTTATCTGATTTACTTTAAGGTGTCTTAACAATCCTGGATGTCATTTTCTTTGAAGTTTATAATTCCTGTTGAAATTTCAATTTGTTAAAATGAGTTGCTCTGATAAAACGGGATGAAGTTTTTATCAAATTAGCATCCAATATATGCCATTATTGCTATAGTTGAGTTTACTTCAATTGATAATTAAGTAAATGATGTTCTTAAAGGAAATAGTAGAATGATTTAAGATGGCTGTTGTTTCAATGGAAACTATAATCATAATGAATTCTACCTAAGCTGCTTTAGGAGGAGTGATAACGGTGCTAAACAATTGACAAGTGCTATCCGAATAGCCTTCGTTGCATCTACAAAATTATACTTCATTGCTCATGCACAATCCATTATTGTTGCATTAACTAATGTAATTTGACATATATTACTTATAGCATTCTCCCTTCTAGGAACCCTTAATAGTTATTTAGTATTGGGCATCTTCTGAAGAGTATATATAGATTGAAAACTGTTTGTTGCTCAGCTTGAAGACGCTAAATTTATTATACGCCTATTCGTTTCCATCATCTACAAGGTCTGATAATACAATCTACTGTACCCGTTATTAATATAAAAGAGCATTGTTATCAAATATGCACAACTTTCTAAATATGTCAATTCTCATTATTACTTGTTAGATTCTATTTGATTCTTTATTGCTTCTGGAGAGCTGACAATAGATTTTATTGTTTATAAGTTTGTTGTATAGCAAAAAGCCAAAAAAGGTGAACCTGTTGAAAATTAATTCTTGTCAAGAATTATGTTGATAGTTGTTGATCCTTAATTCAAATCACTATATTTCTCCAAATCAATATCGATTACATTTAAGCCCCTCGTTCTATAAGGTTTGTTCGAATAAAGAGCATTTGTTTAAGATATCAATAATAGTAGTACAAATATCATAAATGAATATTATAAAGATTTTATAAATATCGCATGTTTTAATAATCAAGGCATAATACCATTGGTCATTCTTTGGAAATTATCATACTAAATGGTTCTCCAATTATTATCACTGTAATCAATTAATTTTTCAGCATATCTTTACAATTCTTCATCACTTGCTTCCTCTTTGAATCGATCTCTAAATTCTTTGATGTCAAATCTCTCAAAACAAGGCAAATCACTATCCTACATCATAATCTCAATAATCATTATTATCTCGTCGACATAGCCTTGAAGTGCTTTGAACCCTCTGTACATTAGATTCTTATAGTATAAAAACAGATCAGAATTTCTTCCATTCATTAAGTCAATGTATTCTTGAGTCAATTTAAAGGGAGCCTTCTCAAAGTTCAGATTCCCAGGAGAAGTACACAGAATAAATCCAAAATCAATATGAACTATTCTACCTTTGCTGTCAATCAAAATATTGCCATTGTGTCTATCCTTTATTTATAATAAATAACTGATAATTGAATAAGAAGCAAGACTCTAAATGAACCTCATTTGTGCTTCTTCAAAATCTTATTGAAATATTTCTTTATAAATATGAACTAGAGATTTGCAGGCTGGGTACTTCTTTTTCAGACCATCAATTGAAATAGTGTCTGCGCAAAATTCCAGAATACCTGAACTTGCACTTACAACTATGATTTCATATGCCTTCACATACATGTCCAAACCATGACTCTAAAATGCCTAATACATCTTATAAATAATCTGCATGGTCATAAGTTCTTATCTTAGATCATCTCCTCCTTTAACGATAATGGGTTTCAATCGATATGTTTCAAAATGTTAATATGGACTCTCTCTCTTTATCATCTCAGCCCTATCTTCCCATAACTCATCCCATGGTCCAAATTTACTATGCAATTCTATTCCATCCTGATGGATATCTACTTTATTTTTTTCTAATTTCTTCTCAATCAAATCATATTGAAGATACACGTATATCTTTTTTAATACTTCTTCTTATTTGGGACAAACTAAATTATTAAAATCTAAATACATTATAGCAACTCCTTAAAGAATCTAACTCTTCCAAGGGCAGTTAATTATTTTATCGATTTATGTTTGTGTCTAAACCCATTTTTGAAATTCTCCTTGTAAAGCCTTAACCAATAGTTTTTATCCTTCCTTTAGCCCTGTTATCTATATTTACTATTCAGTTTAGGAATGCATGACTAAGTTCTCTCATTAGTTTTTTCTGGAAATAAAATATTGAACCTATTTAATAATATTAAACAAATACCGCTGCCTGTTTTTTTAAAATTTCTCCTCCTCAATAACATTGGTAAATTATTTTTAAAATTAAAGATTTTTCATTATTTGTTCCTAGAGTATTAATTCTTGATCTTATTCATTCTCTGTAGCCTTCTCTTTCTTTGTTAGATAAACAGCACTCATTATATTTTTAAACATCTTCATTCCTTTTTTAGGTTCTTTTTTTTATGTTATTTTCATCAGATCGCTGTATTCTTTTTTATTTCTATTTTTAGCCAATTCTTCCATTTTTTTTTCTATTTCCTATTTATTCGGTTGATTTAAATCGGCTTACAAGAAGTCTTCCATTGTATCATCATCTAAATTAGCAATTGATCGATTATTAGTGATTGAATTATTTGCAGTCTTTTTTGGTTGTTTGTATTTCAATTCATGAGGACTATAAGTAGCAATTATAAATACTCTATGGTTTCGACTACAATTCTGTAGGGTACCCTTTTTTTAGTATTGAAACATGAACATTCTCCTTCGATAATTCTAACTACTAAATTTGAATGTACAGCTACGTCTTAATCTTTGCTCATAGTAAAAGGTACAGTGATTCCTTAGCAAAAGTAATACTCTTAATGTTTTAATCGATATTTCTCTAAAGCCACATTAGCTCTAGTAATAAAGTTCTTTAATTTAGGTTTTCTGTCCTCAGGCTTATAGGTTTTAAGTATCAAGGACATTTAAATTAGATTATTTAAATAGAGATCTACAACACTCTGATAAGATTTTAGTTATAAATTCGGAATTTTGACTGCACTATGATCATTGTGTAGTGTTAGCATCGATTACTCAAATTACTAGTATGGTAATTGTAAATTTTACATCGTCTATTCTTTATAATCTCTTCATTTTGTTCTTATCTGTTCTATCCCTGTCAGAATATGAGACCCAACACCATTTAATTAATTAATACAATGCAATGCTTTTGTTACACAATGATGTTATGAACTTCTCTAAATAAGGAGAATCATTCTTTATAAGTATATACCTAAATGATTTACAAATGAGTTATATACACTAATTAAGGAATAAAGAACTCCAATTCTTCTTATTAAACCTAGTATAATTTATTTGTTAAGAATTAATGAGGCCCACTCTCTTTTAGCTTATAGAAGTAATAATAAATAAGTTTATTGACTTCTATGTCTTGAGTATTGAACATCTAATAAATTGAACTAATGATATAATCCTCTCTAGGTTGACTGACAGGTAGAAGGATTATTTGGTATTTCTTCCTTTCTTCTGAATCGTTTTGTTTCCAAACAGGTAAATAATTAACACTCTAAGTATTCGAACTTTGTCGAAAACGAGAAGGGTTATTCATAAAATTAATATTTAATATGTGTTATTATAAATTCATGCACCAATAGATAATTTTGATCTTGCCACTTATTTTCTTGATTAACGTGCCACCTATTGATTGTTAGTCTCTTTTTTAACATTTTCATCTTTTTCTGCAGCCCACAATTCAATATGAGCATTGGATGATAAAAATGCTGCAATATTTTAATTTTTTACGATTAATTCTTCCGTGTGCTCTGTAGGTTCTACGTCTGCCCTTTTAAGCTCTATTCACTTAGACATGATTGATGATCAATTTCTCGTTGCTTAAATTCTTAACTTAAGCATTTGCTGCCAAATTTTACAATAATGATAAAACAATTCTAACACTCTTTTCTGGCCATCTACCTAAAACAATGTTTAGCTTGCTCAATTTACCTTATGATCTGCCGAACTCTTTTGCCTATGCAGTTCTACCCACTCCACCATTGAAACGAGTGAATGGAACACATCTCTTGTGTTATAATACATCTTATAAGTATTTTAATGCTTATGCAAGTGTTTATCCTTTAAGTGCTCTAGCTACTTCATAAGTGTTTTTGAAATGTGTTCTTAAATCACTGGCTCTAGCCTTACATGATTTCTTGGCAACTGCTGGCTCTCTGGCGTATTACTTACCCATAAATATTGAAATCTTTTATTTATTTTATTTAAAAAATGTGAAATATATATAATATAAATTCACTTTCCAAAACCATTTCCCAAATCAAATTTATTAGCATATTTTTGAAACAAATTCTTATCGTAATCCTATAATTTCTTTTTCATGTCCTACTTCATATTCATATATTTGCTGTCTCCCATATATGTTCTTCTCATAACATCTTAATTTTAGAATTCCTTAAAGAATTCATTGCTCGTTACCAAAAACTATCATACAAAACTTCACTACTTTTTTTTTTTTATCCACTTATGCATTCCCATTCTCTTGAACTTTATTTCTAAAATATTCATCTAATGTCATCCCATTATAACTATTTGGATTAAAATTTTAAGCAGTTCTGCTTTATATCGCAGTACGATTTCTTTAAGAGTTCTAACTTATCATTCTCCTTTTATCCAATCGAGAACATTTCGATGTCTCGGGTCTTTATTCTATACGCTCCTCACTCATTAATTATTGAAAATATTAATATTATTACTCATCTGTTAATAAATATTTTTTTCATAACCTTTTTACTATCATTGCATTTCATCTATTGCAGCATCTCTCTCCCAACTCCTAGTTTTTGCTTCCCCTAATTTATATGACTACCTGATTAACCATTCCTTGGTACCAATTGAATTAATAACAGACTCATCGTTGTCTCAAGATCTGTAAAACCTTGATAATCCCAACCATCCATACCATTCTTAATAGTTACGAGAGTTTCCAGCTCAACTTTAAGATTCGCCTAGAATGCTACAAAAATTAATATCAACAATTAATCATCAGCCAAACTTCACAGAAGTTTGATTTAATCTGCTCTATACATTCTTGCTGGTTAACATCTAAACAATCTCCAAAAATAGCTAATCTTTATTTATTAAATAATCTTATATAAAAACCCTAAATTATTTAGTTATCCATAATATGAACTAAATATCATAATTTCCGTAACGTATAGCATATATCTTCTCCAGCTTTGTTTAATATTTGATGGATTTTAGAATAAAGCATTAATAAAGCACATTTAAATGTAAATGTGTTTTCCGCAACAAGCATACTCTCTTTTAATCTAAATTTACAAAGTTTCAGTCTATAATAAAATATTAAATTTTTCTTGTCATATAATTTGACTCTTAAATCTATCTTTAAATATAACAGAGTATATCAACTCAATATTCAACTTTAGATTGAGTAAATTATTTTATTTATACTAACTATTATGATGTTATGTGTGAATCACTAATTCCTTAATATGTAATCTAAACTCCTTTAAAATATAATAAATAATTAATAAATATATTACAATTTTAATGTTTACAATGTATAATTATATAATGTTTTCAAATATCAAATTTAACTCCTTAGGCAAGAGGCAATGTCTTACCAAAATTAATAGTGCATGTAGATCTCCTCATATAAGTCTTCCATGAGTCACTTCCTGATTCTCTACCACCTCCGGTTTCTTTTTCACCTCCGAAAGCTCCTCCAATCTCAGCTCCAGAAGTACCAATGTTAACATTTACAATACCACAATCAGATCCCAAAGGTCCAGTCCATTTATATGAATTGCTTAAATTGGATGTGAATAATGAGCTGCTCAAACCTTATGGGACATTATTATTAATTTCAATAGCCTCATCCAAAGTATCATATCTAACAATAAATAAGATAGGCATGAAGAGTTCATGTTGTAAAATAGGATGATCAGCTTTAACTTCAAAAATGGTTGGCTAAACAAAGTTACCAGGACCTTCAATGACATTTCCTCCATAAAGTAGTTTTCCTCCTTATGCTTGGATTTCAGGGATAACCTTTTTGTATTATTCTACTTGTCCTCTTGTATGAAGTGGACCACATAAGGTATCTACAATGTAAGAATTAATTACCATCATTTAAAGCATTTCCAATTTTGATGGTACCATAAACCTTGACCATTTTTTGAATGAATGTCTCTGCAATGCTGTTATGTAACAACAATCTTCTTAAGGATGTGCATCTCTGTCCACATGTACCAACAGCTGCGAATACTGCAGCCTTGAGTGCTAAATCCACATTTGCATCTTCATGAACAATCTAAGCATTATTTCCTCCTAATTCCAATAAACTTCTGGCTAATCTGGAAGCCACCTTTGCTGCAATGATTTTACCAACTTAAGTGGAACCTGTAAAGGATACTAATGGAATTCTCTTATCACTTGTAATGGCTTCTCCAATTTAAACACCATCTCCACAAATAGTGA